GTACATTCTGTGCAGACTTTAATTCCCCTCTATTACACCCTCTGCTGGTTCTTGCACCCTCATTCTCACTCATTGCTTATGTATTTAATGTAATCATCTCTGTTTCCTTGTATCAGAGACAGTACTAGTGCCTATACCAAAATTCTTCGCAACATTCATAGCCTTCCAGCCATTTTCAGAGTTTAGTGACTCATAACGTATCCTTAATTCAGATAGCCACATGCTTTACGAACCCCCTCGGGGCCGAGACTAGTCGGATAACTTGTTGTGTTCGTACGTGTGGCCTATCATCCTGAAAATCTTGGTGGTAAATTGACAATTTCAAGGCATAAATTTGACAGTATTTTCTTTGTACTCAACAATACGAGATGTCCGGATCCATTTCCTAACTTGATTCTTATTGTCGATGGAGCATTGTTATATACATGAAAGAGGTGGTGGTGGATGTTAATTGTATTTAGTCGACTGAAATGGAGGTTAATGGTGATGAGGTAACCTCAGATTTTGAAGCATTTGGGTCAACACGTGATGAGTCGGGTGCAGGTGGTGCAATGTGAGCTTTCTTGGAAGCCTTTGCAAAAGATTTTTAATTTATATTTGCTTCATTCCCTTTTGTTCTTGTTTTCAAAACCTTCATATACAAATTCATAATTTCTCCCTCATTATTTCCTGTACCTCATTGCCTATGACCCCTCACTGCCTCTCTTCCTCCCTCCCTCACTGCCTCTCTCCCTCCCTCCCTCACTGCCTCTCTCCCTCCCTCCCTCACTGCCTCTCTTCCTCCCTCCCTCACTACCTCTCTCCCTCCCTCCCTCACTGCCTCTCTCCCTCCCTCACTGCCTCTCTCTCTCCCTCCCTCACTGCCTCTCTTCCTCCCTCCCTCACTGCCTCTCTCTCTCCCTCCCTCACTGCCTCTCTTCCTCCCTCCCTCACTGCCTCTCTTCCTCCCTCCCTCACTGCCTCTCTCCCCTACCCTGCCCCCTCTCCCCCCTCCCTGCTTTTCCCTCTTCCCCCCTTCCTGCCTTTCCCTCTTCCCCCTTCCTGCCTTTCCCTCTCCCCCTCCCTACCTCCCTTACTAACTAACTACCATCTCCCACCCTAGCCGCGAGGCCTGGTTGACACTTGCCTGAACCATGTCAGCTACCCGAACCATTCTATACGATCCTTAGTTACCCAAACTTGAGTATCCTAACTAACCCAAATCGGGAAACTGGCATTTTCAGATACACGCTGTTCGTAAAGTACGTGGCTGTCTAGTTAGGACAACCTTCTGCCTTCTCCCTCTTAACACCTCCAGGACAATTGCTGTGAATTTCTCGCCGGATACAGAGATCAAATTCTCTCCAGATTTGATTTTCTGGCAAAGTTTTGCCAGAAAATTATCAAGGTGCAATTCTGGCCAGATAACCCAAATATCTGGTTCAACAGGCTTTGGATAACCAAGCTCATACAGAATCTGCTAAGATTCCTCTTTAGAAATGTGTGAAATATGAATTGAAGTAGAATGGTCAGTTCAGGTACGCATTCTCTCAAAACTCAAGATGAAACGCCATCTAGTCCAACAACTTTATTTCTTCCTAGCTCCTCGAGTAATTTTTCCACTTCGTATTGAGATATCTCTCTGTACAGTTTGGTGCTCTCTGAAATTGGCTCTGTCTGGTTCTCTGAAAACCTCATTTTGCACACACACACTTTGGAACTGTTCATTTAGTGTTTCACTTATTTCCTTTACATTCCCTGTGATTCTGTTCGCCATTTTCAATCTCTGAATTTTATCCTTTACATGCAGCTTGCTTGTAATGAATTTATGGAAAAGGCCTGGATCTGTTTTACATTAGTTCACTACCCCTTTCTCAATGCTTCTTTCTGCCTTGCTCCTCACTGCTGTGTATTTGTTTCTTGCTTGTTTGTAGTGCTGGTTTGTTTGAGGGTTAGGCTTCTTTCTATATTGAACCCATTTTCTAAGCTTTTCTTCACTGGCTCTCACAATTTCTGTTGAACCAATCTTCTTTCCTGTTTCTGCATCTCTGTTTTGGTATAAATTTGTTGTGCTTTCATCTTGTCTCTCAGAATTTGGCATACCCAGTACATCTCGTTTACTTCCTTGCCTAACTACAAGTCCTTCTTATCAAATTCATTAAAGAATTTGCTAAGTTCCCCATAGTGTCCTCTCCTGAAATAAAGTTTATAAATCGTTTCAATTTCCCCATGCTCTTCTAGATTATATTGCATTGCATATTTCATTTCCAGAGGGCATGGTTGCTCTTTCCCAAGGGAGGAAGGTACTGAATGTAAAATCTCTCTTTCCTGGTAAATATTAAATCCTTCATTGATGGAACATCCTCTTCCCTCATTTTCGTGGCCTGCTTAACCACTTAGCTGCACCAGCCGAGTATTGTCGGTCGGCGGGAAACTGCGCCAACCGAGAAAACTCTTTTTGAACAAATCCACAAGGGCCGTGATGAGGATTCGAACCTGCGTCCGGGAGCATCCCGGAAGAAGCATTTTGTTCATTTGATACATCACGTTAGTGTGATTTCTGTGTGTAAAAAGTCTCTCTGATTTTTCGGTACCAATTCTAAATGTGTACAAGGTTGGTTGTGTACGAAATGGACTCTTAGGACCTCCAGTGAGAGGCAGCCATCTTAGAAAAAATTCCCAGAATGTCCTAGGGCTGCTGGCTGTGTTAGTACTGAATGAGCAACCATGGGTGGCGCCCGCGCTTCTGGCTCCCAAACACCTGTCCAACGTGGTGTTGAAAGATAACGCTTTGTCGATAAAATTCAAACCTTATTGTTTGAAGAACATAAGGGTCATAATATTGGTGAAGCTAGGGGCAATGGGTATTGGCAATGTGGGTAATGGGTATCAGAGATGTGGTTAGACAATGGTGGTGGGTGTCATTGTAAGGTTGGTAGGAGAGAGTTGTGCAGTAGGCATTCAAACCAACATGGCTAACTCTTTAGCTAGTGATACAAGTGTGTGGTGGTCTTGAGATGTACTATATATTTAACATTATTTGTTATCTCTAGTGGGAGTTTTGTGTATAAAACAGAGTGAAAATCTTTAGTATATGAAAAGGGCTACTTAATAATACTACTATTTGCAGGAAAAGGCATTTTTTTCAGTATCACAATTTCACACAGCTTGGGTGTTTGCAGTCTAATCTAAAATATAATACTGTATCTCTTACTTTCTGCATGTGCAGATTGTGCCTTTGCTGTTTTCCCACTTTTCACCCTATATTATGCACAGTTTACCTATATTGTTCTATAATAATCAGTACAGTTATACATCAGTACCATAACAATACAGCTAATCTTTACATCAGTACATAACAGTACAGCTAATCTTTACATAGTACCATAACAATCATAACAGCTAATCATTACATAAGTACCATAACAATACAACTAATCTTTACATCAGTACATAACAGTACAGCTAATCTTTACATAGTACCATAACAATCATAACAGCTAATCATTACATAGTACCATAACAATCAATGCAGCTAATCTTTACATAGTACCATAACAATCAATGCAGCTAATCATTACATAGTACCATAACAATCAATGCAGCTAATCTTTACATAGTACCATAACAATCAATGCAGCTAATCATTACATAAGTACCATAACAATACAACTAATCTTTACATCAGTACATAACAGTACAGCTAATCTTTACATAGTACCATAACAATCAATGCAGCTAATCATTACATAGTACCATAACAATCAATGCAGCTAATCTTTACATAGTACCATAACAATCAATGCAGCTAATCATTACATAGTACCATAACAATCAATGCAGCTAATCTTTACATAGTACCATAACAATCAATGCAGCTAATCATTACATAGTACCATAACAATCAATGCAGCTAATCTTTACATAGTACCATAACAATCAATGCAGCTAATCTTTACATAGTACCATAACAATCAATGCAGCTAATCTTTACATAGTACCATAACAATCAATGCAGCTAATCTTTACATAGTACCATAACAATCAATGCAGCTAATCTTTACATAGTACCATAACAATCAATGCAGCTAATCTTTACATAGTACCATAACAATCAATGCAGCTAATCATTACATAAGTACCATAACAATACAACTAATCTTTACATAGTACCATAACAATACAACTAATCTTTACATCAGTACCATAACAATACAACTAATCTTTACATCAGTACCATAACAATACAACTAATCTTTACATCAGTACCATAACAATACAACTAATCTTTACATCAGTACCATAACAATACAACTAATCTTTACATCAGTACCATAACAATACAACTAATCTTTACATAGTACCATAACAATACAACTAATCTTTACATCAGTACCATAACAATACAACTAATCTTTACATCAGTACCATAACAATACAACTAATCTTTACATCAGTACCATAACAATACAACTAATCTTTACATCAGTACCATAACAATCAATGCAGCTAATCTTTACATAGTACCATAACAATACAACTAATCTTTACATAAGTTCCATAAAAATCAATACTGCTTATCTTTACATCAGTACCATAACAATACAACTAATCTTTACATCAGTACCATAACAATACAACTAATCTTTACATCAGTACCATAACAATCAATGCAGCTAATCTTTACATAGTACCATAACAATACAACTAATCTTTACATAAGTTCCATAAAAATCAATACTGCTTATCTTTACATCAGTACCATAACAATACAACCAATCTTTACATCAGTACCATAACAATACAACCAATCTTTACATCAGTACCATAACAATCAATACAGCTAATCTTTACAGTACTGTGTATACATTTTACTATTTAAATAGTTATGAGTTATAACTTGTTAACTCAGTTTTATGCATTTCTCATTATTTGCTTAACAATTAAATAAAAAAATGCTTTGTGATAAAATGTTTCGTAAATGTTGTTCTAGACCATATTGTAATTATTTGTTTTATCAGATTGTTCCCAACCTGGTGCGTATCCTCAAGAATCTGATCATGGCCGGCTATTCTCCAGAGCACGATGTTCAAGGTGTCTCAGATCCCTTTCTACAGGTTGGTGAATACACTATTATTGTCTCATTCTATGGCCATGAATATCTATTACTTAAAACATTTAATGTCAGATATTTGGTCCAGTAATACAAAGTTATATTTAATCCTGTATGGATGGGCAATGTAGCAGTATGTGCTGGATTTTAACAGTGATTTCCTGTTTTTTATTTTTAATCATAACATATTTTGCCCAGACTACTATGATAAGTGACAGCCATGCCAGTCAATTTGAAAATAGAATACTGTATATTTTGTATCATCTGTTCATGTAGCTGTAAATTGGGACATCACAAAATTAAACCATAGTGGCGGCTCACCAGTAGATTCTTAATATACAACACATGCATTTTTACTTTCCATTTATGCCACACAGTTATGGCACACAGCTTGGTATTTCAAGCTTGATAGGTATCAAGAGTTTGGATACCATAAAATTTTGCTATAATGTAGTTTGTTTGCACCCCCATTGACAGTTTTTAGTGTATAATTACCTAAGTGTAGTTCCAGGATGAGAGCTAAACTTACGGTGTCCAGTCTTCCCAGCACTCTGTCATATAACGCTTTGAAATTACTGTTTTGGCCTCCACCACCTTCTCATCTAGCTTGTTCCAACCGTCTACCACTATTTGTAAAAGTGAATTTTCTTATATTTCTTCGGCAGCATTGTTTAGTTAGTTTAAATCTATGGCCTCTTGTTCTTGAAGTTCCAGGTCTCGGGAATTCTTCTCTATCAATTTTATCGATTCCTGTTACTATTTTGTACGTAGTGATCATATCGCATTTTTTTCCTCTATCATCTAGTTTTGGCATTTTGCACTGGTAGGGGCACGGGGTACTGCACAGCTAGTTATCACCTATTATAGCAGCCGGCTCTGTTCCACCTGGGTACGTTGTCCTCTTGTGGGGTTTTTTTTGTTTTTGTTTTCCTGCCTGGTGGGGTTCTGCCTTTGGTTCGTTGCCCTCTATATTAAGTCTCTGACTTAGGTGGTTTATGCCCCTATGTGTGTTTTCTGGGTGGTATCCTCTGCTATTACTGCCCCTGTTGGATGCGGCTGCTTGAGTGGACACATCCCGGGGGTTCAGCTTTTAGCAGTTTTGATTGGTAGACTTGGGTGCCGGTTCACAGTACCCTGACCTGGGCTTACCCTTAGCAATACCACTTTAGGGGCCCTGGGAAACCCTGTGGGTCCGTGCATGAGGGATCCTTATAGATGCGACCCCCTGGGTCCTCTCTCTAAGCCCTTGTGGGGACAAGTTTGAGGGTTGCTCTGTCCCCTTGTCTCAGGGTGACTCACTGTTTTTGCCTCCGTCATGCTGCCTGTTGGGTCGGTGACACCTTCGACCCAGAGTCCTGCAAGATTGTTGCTTGTTTGTGACTCAATTCACCCAGTCCACTGATGATTTTATACAGGGTGCAGGTGGCTCAGGCGTTGCATGCTAGATTTAGGTTGCTGCAATGCGCTAGGTTGATTGCTACCCTGGAAACCCCGAGGCTGCCCCATTTTGCTTATGGGGACCCGGACTTGGGGGTGTTGGTTGCTTCGACCTTGGTTCAGTCTGCAACCCACTCGTTCTTCCCCTGCTGTGGTTCATTCTGGTTCCCCCTTTCTCCTGCTTCTGGCTCCGAAACGTCTGAGAGCTTCGGGGTCGGGGCAGAGTTTGGATGGTTCTGAGACTCGGGCAGTTTCGTGGGTTGCCCTTCTGGGGGGGTGGGGCGACGGAGGCATTCGAGTCGGTTCCCTGCCGTGGCGACGGGGTCTGACCAGTGGGCCCCCCTTCCTTCCTGCTATTCCAGCTGCCCCAGGTTTTTCTTGTGAGGCCGGGGCTTTGAAGAACCACTCGGCCCCAGGTCTTGGTGTGGAGGTTCCCAGGGTTGGGGAGGGGCTGACTTGGGGGCCTTGGGCCCCATTGGACCCTGCCTGGGTTTTCCTACCCTCCGAGCAAGGCTTACTGTTTCAAGCAGTGGGGTTTTCTTTCCCCCCCCCTCTCTGTGTACAAGTTGGATTTGGTGTCGACTCCTACCGGGGTTCAGTTCCATGTCCCTTCGGGTCTGTCGGTTCTGTCCTTCTGAAGGTATTCGACTTCCCGCATCTCGCCTACTGATGTGCGGGTGGCCATTATGTCTTATGTTCTGTGCGACCCGGATTATGCCTCTATAATGGATCCGTCATCTTTCCGGTTTGGGTCTTCGTATCCATACTAAGTTCCTTATGTGGTTCCGGAGTCGCCCTGGCTAGCGGACTGCCCTGTGTTGTCATTGGATGTTTGGAATACTTTGTCGTACCCTCACGCTTGAGCGGCGTGAAGTGTTGACAGTGGTCCAGGTTTACCTGGGGGGGGGGTGCAAATTCGAGCAACTCAGTGTGTTTGTTCCTGCCCTTCAGCGGGATGTTGGCATGGTTCAGCTTCACATGCAGATTCCCTCCCTTTCGGCTGCATTGGTGGCTGAGGACTTGTTCGCTAGTGGCCTGCTGGCTTCAGTCTTGCGGTTCTTTTCCCTCCTGGAGCTGTCTTCGGATTGGCTTCAGCAGGATGTGGAGGTGCTTGGGGCCATTTCTGAGTCTGGTGCCTTGATCTTGGTGGCGCGTGTGTCGTCTGCACTGCTGAAGCTGTTTGCGCCAATCCTGCAGGATGCGGTGTCACTATTTTTTGCTTCGCGTGTCGGCAGGTGGTGCTCGCTTCCTCGTTGGAATTTGCTTGGGCCCTGGCTCTTTAAGTTTTCGTCGCCTTATTGTCCTTTGCTGTTTGCGGAGTCTGCGGTTGGGCAGTTTCTGCTGGCAGCCTCTTCAAGTTGTCGTCCGATGTCGGACTTGTTAGTCCTTCGGGGGTCCCGGAAGGGGGTTCCTCCCGGAAGGGACGTGCCTGGGCTCGGGGTTCCTCTCATCGTGGTAGGCCACTGGTGCCAGTTTCTGGGTCGGCACCAACTTCGGACCTGTCTTCGTCTGGTTGCTCTGTGCATAAGTCTCATAAGGCGCATTGGCCCTTTCGCGGTTTGCTCCATTGGTGGGGCGATGGGGGGAAAGGCTCGATCTGTTCGCTCACGCCTGGTCTCACAATTCATTGGCTTTTCGGGTCGTTTCCGACAGCCTGTGGTGGCGTTGAGTGGCCCCTCCTCCTTTGGGGGGCTTGAGGCTGGCCTCTTCTGCGCTCTGTCAGGTCAACTCGGAGTGGGTATGCTTAGGTGTGGTCAAGATGACGATGTCCCTCAGGTGGGTTTCCCGTCTATTCCCAGTCCCGAAACGGGACTGTGGACCTGTTGTTCATTCTAGACTTGTCCCGTCTGAACCCCTGGGTCTTTTGCCCCTATTTTTGGATGACTACTTTGTCCCAGGTTCTGTTGGAGCCGGGCGCTTGGATGGTGTCTCTGAACTTCCGGGACGCGTATTGCCACGTCCCGATTCATCCGAGATTCATAGATTGGCTCGGATTTGTTGTGGGGCATTTCAGTTACCACTTTTGTTGTCTCCCATTTGGGTTGCTCCTCACGTGTTCACACGCCTTACCCAGGTCATAGTGGACTGTCTGCATCTCTTAGATCTTCGGGTGCTGACCTACCTTTATGACTGACTGGACTGGGGTCCCAGCCAGTCCGCATGTCTGCTCACCAGGGATTTGGTTCTTTTCCAGCTTGCCGGGTTCAGCATTCCTGGTGAACTGGCGGAAGTCCCATGTGGTTCCCTCTCAGGTTCGGACCTGGCTGGGTCTTGTGTGGGACTCTAAGACCGCTTCCTTGTCTCTCCCTCCAGAGTCTCTCCTTCAGCTGCATTCCCGCTTTTGCTTGTTTCTAGGGGACTCCCTTGTTTCTAGGGGGACTCTTGGGTCATTTGGAGGTTGTTCAAGTTTGTGCAGTAGCCTGAACTTTTCCGTGATGGTCTACCCGCCGGATCGAATTTGGCTTCGTCGGCTGTTCTGGTTCCTTTGGAGATGTCCCTTCCGCCTCTCTTGCGATCGGTGGGTTTGGCCTCCGGGGGCCTTGCGTCAGCTGCTGCGTTGCCGGCTTCCTCTTTGGGTTTTTCAAGGGTCACTGCCTTGATGCCTACCCGAGCCCTCGCTCGATGTGATTACAGACGCATCACCTCTTGGCTGGGGCTTTGTAATCAGTGCTCACCAGGCCGGCCAGGGGTGGTGGGGTCCGTCCTTCCGTCGAGCCCATGGCACGGTGCAGGAGTTCGCGGCGGTGTGGATGTCGCTTCGGAGGGTTTGGATCGCTCACAGATCAATGATCCGACTCCATTCGGACTGCTCCCTGGTGGTTCATTGTCTGAACCGAGGGGGTTTGATGCAGTCCTTGACTCTTTGGGGCTGGTCGCTTCAGGTGACTCGTCTGCCGAGTTCTCGTGGTTTGGTTCTCCTGGTTGTTCACGTTCGAGGGTGTCCAATGTCCTGGTGGATGGCCTGTCTAGTTTCAATACCCTGTCCTCGGATTGGATGGTCGACTCTTACTCATTAAGTTGACTCTGCTGGATGTACAGGCTCCCGGAGGTAGACCTCTTTGTATCGGCGTGGTCGAGGCGTCTCGCGGTATATGTGGCGCTCTTCCCCGACTGCGAAGCTGTCTGGGTCGATGCTTTTCGGCAGGACTGGTCGAGGTGGGGTTACCTGTATCTCTTTCCCCCGGTTCCGCTGGTACATCCGTCGGACAGCACGCTGGACTTGTGATACCAGGGGAGAGTAATCCTCTTGGCTCCAGGTCCTAGCTTGCTCGGAGACTTACCAGGGAAGGTAGTTTTCAGGTGCTGCTTGCTCGGTGTCCTAACTCAGAGGTTTTCCCGCAGCCCCGCCTCTTTCAGATGATTGGTCCAATCCGTTACTTGGCTGGTTTGGTCTTCTTCTCAAGTCTTCATGTCTGGCACTTTTAACTCGATTCTATCACCATCTGTTTGATGATCATGTGGCTTTGTTGATGGTGTCCCACCTGCATGCTTCATGTTGGCGGCGTGTGTAGTTTACTGGCGGTCCTTCCTTTTCTTTTTGTCTCTTCGTATGAGTATTTCGCTTTTTTTTTGGGGTGGTCTTGTCCTTTCTCTCGTGGCTGTTTCAAAACCGTCATCTTATGCCGCATACTGTTGCCTTGTATCATGCGGCACTGGCGGAGCTGCTACGGCTTACTTTTGGTTTTAATGTTCCTTCTGCCCCGTCTCGGGCGTTGTTTCACCTCCAGCCTGCTCATGTGTTGCCTGAGTTGTCCTGGTCTTTGGACATGGTGCTCTCTTCTCTCTTCCCTCGGTTTGTTATGGCTGTGGCTCTTTCTGTTCAGGATTGTTTCTCAGAGGTTTCTACTCCTTTGGGTCCTGGGTGATAGGTTTGTTCAGTTTGCAACCATCTGGCAAAGAATGAGACGGCTGCTTTCCGGAGGGTTCCTTGGGTTCCGGGGACTCGCTTGGGGGTTTGGCCGGAGGTGCGTCTTCCCTTGTGTCCTGTTCGGGTCTCCCAGGTCGGCATACGACTTTGGCTGAAGGCAGACGGCGTTGCAGGAGGCTAAGGTGATCCAAGAGCACTAAAAGAGAGTGGCTCTCCAGGGGAGGCGATGTCCTTTATATAGTCTGGCGGTGATATCATTTTATAAACGACGTTTATAAGTTTGCTGCTCTTGCTGCCATCTTCGGTAACATGTCTTGGCTGTGGATGCACTTTGGGTTGACCCAGGTTCTCTTTGTCCCTGTTCTAGGGTTTGGGTCTCCCAGGTTGTCTGCTGGCATCATTCGGGGTTGCCAGTTGTCTTGCCTTTGCGTTTCGGGTGAGTGGTTTCTGCCTGCCGGGTTTATCCATCTTTTGTCCTTGTTTTTGGGTAGATAGCTCCGGGAAGCTGAAGGGGCTCCCCCCAGAAAACCAGTGTTGAATGTAATGAAACTCCATTTTCTGGGTGAGACCCGGAGGCTCCCCAGCATCCCTCCCTCCCTCCAGTAGGCGATTTTTTTGTGTTTTGACATCCAGCCTTAAAACTGAAGGTTGTCGTGCTTGTTTTTCTTTGGGGAGTTCTGTCTATTCATTTGACTTTTAGTAGTAGTTTCAACCAGAATAGAGGTTTGTTTTGGGATGCTTACCTTTCTGGGTGTCTGACCCAGTCGATGGCAGACATAGAATGCTACACATCACATGTGCATTTCTATAGGCCATTGCTCCTTGTGCCTCTCTGAGGGGGCCAGGTTCTGGCTTGTGGTCCTTGGTTGGCCTAAGAACTCCATTCACACTAAATGATGCGAAAGTCTAATAGTTGTTCCATATCAGCATGGATAAGCTCCGGGGAGCCTCCAGGTCTCACCCAGAAAATGTAGTTTCATTAGATTCAACACTGATTTTTTTGGTTGTGGAGACAGTGAAGCCTCAGAAACCATGAACGATATTTTAGCACAGGTGGCCACCAATACTGAATCTTCCAAGAATGTGGGCAATGCCATACTGTATGAAACAGTACTTTCTATAATGGACATTAAGAGTGAGAGTGGATTAAGGGTAAGCATCATAAAGATCTGTGTGCAGTGTGAAGTGGAAGCGGTGTTTCTCTTGAAAGTATGCGTTGTTTACTGTAGGTTATTTTTGTCCCTATTTGCATTCTTTTTTGTTTAATATTGTCACTTAATACATCAGTCAGTCTTGAGGTTTCCATGATCATGTATACATTTCTGTTTTCCTCCAACTGCTCACCAAGTTGTCACAAAGCTGGATTTCATCGTTTAGAATGTGTTTGTAATTCTTAGCCAGGAAAAGGTGGCTTAAAAAGAGGCTGTAAAAACCATTTATATTTACATTTAAATGTGTGGAAAGCTGAAGGACTGGGATGAAAGAATGATTTTGTATGTCTGTATTTATACTCTTTATTTGAATATCTGAAAATTTTCTAATTTTTTTCATTTAGTAATTAAAACATTTATGGGTCACTTCACTTGCAATTTTTTCCCATTCTGACTCGAGTCTATTTATTATGTTCGTTTGTGTGCGATTACTGTGCCTTTTACTTATGTTTAGAGATCCCTTGGTAACTGTGTGTAGTTACATATATATATGTAGCTACAGGATGTGGGCTATACTGTACTTGGGTTGTTCCCCTCTTCCTAAATGACTAACATAAGCTATTTAGTGTTCTGATGCTTCTGGTTATTTTGGAATACGCTAACACCCTCTCCCTCTTCCTCCTCCTCCCCCTTTCCCTCCCCCTCCCCCTCGTGTGTGTGTTGACTATTTCAGTTGCAAAGACGTATTTGTTCGAGTCTTTCAGGACCTATATTTTTGTGCCTTGTATCTATGGCTTCTTGTTCTCAATGTTTCATCTATCAAGGATTCCTCTATTTGAGTTATTGAGTCCTGTCACAAAGTTATACATGGTTATTATTCAACCATGTACAACACGGCTCCTGATAGCTGAGTGGACAGTGCTTCAGATTTGTTGTCCTGAGATTCCGGGTTAAATCCCCGGTGAGGGCGGAAACAAATGGGCAAAGTTTCTTTCACCCTGATACCCCTGTTAGCTAGCAGTAAAATAGGTACCTGGGAGTTAGACAGCTGTTATGGGTTGCTTCCTAGGGAGTGGGGGGGACAAAAAGGAGGCCTGGTCGAGGACCGGGCTTCAGGGACGCCTAATCCCTGAAATCATTTCAAGATAGCCTGAAGATAACCTCATTTTCTTGTATATATTTTATTGGTTTGACTTATTTAATGCCTCCACCCCTCTATTTATTACTCTGGTTTAGGTTTGGGAGCCATTTAGTAATAAGGCTTTGCACCTTAGACAATTGTCATGCCTTTCAAGAAGACCTGGCAAAGTGCATGGATTTGAGATTTGTTGACAGAACACTGGACACGTGATCCTGTGGTCCCGGGTTCGATCCTGGGCGCCGGCGAGAAACGATGGGCAGAGCTTTTTTCACCCTGATGCCCCCGTTACCTAGCAGTAAATAGGTACCTGAGGGTTAGTCAGCTGTCACGGGCTGCTTCCTGGGGGTGGAGGCCTGGTCGAGGACCGGGCCACGGGGACACTAAAGCCCCGAAATCATCTCAAGATAACCTCAAGATAACCCCTCCTCGTAGCTCTTGTCCTTCAGTTCTGGGAGCCACTTAGTGGCATGTCTTTGCACCTTTTCAAGTTTGTTGATGTGCTTCTTAATATATGGGCACCATACAACCACTGCATATTCCAGCTTTGATCTAACAAAAGTCGTGAACAATTTGTATCTTGTGTGAAAGTGTATTTATGAAATTCTTAATGGAGGAGCCAGAAATGCACCCAAATGCATCCCTAAAGCGAGAGACAAGTACTGCCCACTCCAACCATCAAGCCGAGGCTTATTCCTTATATTGGGTGAGGCCCCTTGAGAGGAGACCAGCAGGGGCAGACTTGTAAATCATCTCAAGGAAGATATCCTGACCAAAGGCAGGGGCACTGCCAGTGACAACTAGAGATGGCAACTCTGGCCACATACAGCCGAGGCAAACAAGCAGCCGAGGCGTGCACAACAGGTTAGAATGAAACACACACACAAGAAGCCATAAACTTAAGCACAGGTTCTGCACAGGGGGGAGAGAGAGAGTAAAAGAAAAGCCAGCACCCAGGTGAAACCAATGGCTGTAGAACTGAGAGGAAACGTCACCAGTCTCGTGAATATCTAGGATGGCTGCCATCTGTTGGCTGGTGAGTGGTGCTAACTAGCTTTTGGACGTAAACAATGAGTGTCTTTGAGGATTAGAAATTTTGCCGCAGCAGCTGCTTATTTTCTGCTATTACCTATCTGGCGGTCTTTTCTTCAGTTCTGTGACTTTAGACCTTATAACTTATGGGGCATGACAGCTGAGTGGACAGCGCTTCAGATTTGTATTCTGAGGTTCCGGGTACGATCCCCAGTGGAGGCGGAAACAAATGGACAGAGTTTCTTTCACACTGATGCCCCTGCTACCTAGCAGTAAATAGGTACCTGGGAGTTAGACAGCTGCTACGGGTTGCTTCCTGGGGATGTGTAACAAAAAGGAGGCCTGGTCGAGGACCGGGCCGCGAGGATGCTGAGCCCCAAAATCATCTAAAAAAACCCTAGTCCCCCACTCTTCTTTCCTCTATTGAGGGGGCCCCTATTCTGGTACTGGTGTCTGGTACGTGCTCGTGATTTGTCAGAGTCTGGTGTGGTACCCAAGACTTGCAAGATCCAAGGTGGGTAACTCAGAGACCTCCCAGAAATAAAACTGGGTGATTAGAGTCAAATTAGTGAGCAATCTCTGTATGTTATTCAAAGAGTGTTGCCTAATAGTATGTAAACAAAGGAAGGTATAATATGTGATTACTTTTGACAAAATTCCCTAAGAGATGGGCAGTTTGTCTTGTGAGGCAGCCAGTGGTAGGGTGCCGAGAGACTGGGTGCTTCAGTAGTGTGGACATCTTATTTTCTTTTTATCATGATGTCCATGGCAGTTGCATGTACAGAATCCATTGAATGTAATTTTTATAGAACCCTTCGTGATTCATTTATATGCTCTTTTTGATTCATACAAAAGTTTTTTGCAATAGACAAATGAAAGTATTTGTCAGTCAACAGAGAACCTCCAGAACTTTAAGCGGCGAGACGAAAGTGGTTTACCTTATGATGAGTTCCATAATTTAAGGGTTAAGGTGATAAAGCACACTCAAAATTGTAATGTGGCACCTGTTATATGTTCTCCCACTTTCAGGTTTTGGCTATTAATATCCTAGGACGGTTCTTGCTGAATGCAGATAAGAACATCCGATACGTAGCACTGAACACCCTTCTCCGCGTTGTTCATGCCGATAATTCTGCCGTCCAACGTCACCGCTCTACCATCTTGGAATGCCTCAAGGTAATTAAGTTTTTACTGCTCAGGTGGGTGTGACCTGGTTGCTTTTAGTATACCAACTTTGGTGTTGCTTATTTTAGTATTGCTGTTTATAATTTTTAAGGTAAGAACAAATTTGAAAAAATACATGACATCACAAACAATCTTTGTTACCGTACTGTATGTGTGAGCTGGCCCAGGTATAAAATGGTCATGTGGAAATGCACTGTTAACTCTTCCTTGTTTGTCATATAGACACTTTGCATTGAAACTTGTGTAGTACCCTATTTTATCGTGAGAAGATTGTTGTGTTAAACACACACCTGGCTGTATCCTGCCGCAGATTGTTCTGTATCCAAACTGGTCCATTTTGTATCTTAAACATTGTGGATATATGTGGCAAGATGGGGGGGGGAGGGAGGGGGGGATGTGGTTTTGCTGGTTGTGGTGGGAGGGAGGGGGGGATGTGGTCTTGCTGGTTGTGGTGGGAGGGAGGGGGATGTGGTCTTGCTGGTTGTGGTGGGAGGGGGGGGATGTGGTCTTGCTGGTTGTGGTGGGAGGGAAGGGGGGATGTGGTCTTGCTGGTTGTGGTGGGAGGGGGGGGGGTGTGGTCTTGCTGGTTGTGGAGGGAGGGAGGGGGGGATGTGGTCTTGCTGGTTGTGGTGGGAGGGAGGGGGGGATGTGGTCTTGCTGGTTGTGGTGGGAGGGAGGGGGGGATGTGGTCTTGCTGTTTGTGGTGGGAGGGAGGGGGATGTGGTCTTGCTGGTTGTGTGGAAGTACTGTATCCTGGTTTTTACACTGGTGGTTAGTGTGGAAAAGTATTTTTGTTTACAAAATATTTGGACAACAATAGCCTCTTGTTCATTAAGTAAGGTCTGTATGAATATTGATTGCCACCAGGTGTTGTCATATGAGGTAGTGGCAACCCTTATTTTGTCCCTAGTGTAAACCTGCACTATACACTACTCTGCAGAGGTCATTTCAATTATGATGACTGGTTATTCATTGATACTTGGCCTCAGCACATGGGGTTTCATGCTTTAGTATTTGTTTCCCAGTGCAGCCTGTCCTCCAAAGACCCAAAAGTGATTACATGCACCTGCCAAACCCCCTGTTTATGAATGAAAACAGTTTACACACGACTCAACTGATTTCGTTTGAACATTTCCAGAACAAGTCCTTCACTGACGAATTTTGTTCGAACCACAATGCTATAAATGCTTCACCCACATACTACAAATACAAATAATTGCCAACAGAACCTAAACACTTAATCTAACCTAACCTATGCCTATATATATGCACAATATGCTAATATATTATAGTACAGTATTAATTTATATTTGAGAAAATTCCCGTTTTGAATGAACAGTATGTAAAAATTTACAATTGCGTCTGGGGTCGACCGCTGGATGCAATGGACTTGAGTCAAGGATGGGTTTCACAGTGGAGTGCCCATGAGCTTTCCCAGTCTGATTTAACACTATAGCACTCTTCGAATGTTCCTGGCGTTTGATTTTTTTCTCTCGAGTTCGAGCATCGAACTGTGTGGGCGTCCAATAAAAAAATATTTGTATAAAATTCATTTATTATCCGATCTACTTCGGGATAGTTTCAAAATGAGTATGCACAATTTGATACCAAAATGAAAGATAACACGAAACTTGATGTCAGAACACTTGAAAGATTGTAAATACGTTTTTAGTCAAAATTTTAAAATATTTGTAAAAATTCTATTTATTGTGCTATTATAATGGGACTAGTTTTAAAATGAGCCCTTTAGATTGACAACAATTTGATACCAAAATAAAAGAGGTAACACAAAAATTTGTCGGAACACTGGAAAGATAAAAATAATTTTGTGACGATGAGCGTCCAAAATTAAAACATTTGTTAAAATTCCAGTTATTGCTCTATTATTATGATGGGAATAGTTTTAAAATGCGCGCCTTTATATTGCGAACAATTTGATACCAAAATGAAAGACGTAACACGAAAATTGATGTTATCAAACTGAACGACTATACACATAAGGTTGCAGTGTGCAAATTGGTGCTCGTTCAGGGGTAACTTTAAGCTTTGCTGCGGGAAGTCACGCTGGGCTTTTGGACATTATATGCATATACACCTGCAGGGAATTTAATTGCAAACACAATGATACCAAAACGAACGACGTAACACAAGAATTAAGGTGAAAAAACTGAAACGTGTATACACATTTTATGGATTTTGTGCACTAACAGGTAACTTTTGCCGACTTTAGGCTTTGCTGCGGGGAATCACGCCGTGCTTTTGTACATTATATGCATATACACCTGTAGAGCAAACACAATGATACCAAAACGAGCGACATAGCATGATAATTAAGGTGAGAAAACTGAAATTGGGTATACACATTTCGGTGTCGCCATGTGCTCGCCCTCACGATCGCACATACGCCGGGGGCGTGACCTCTAAGTTGGCGGCGCACATGCCTGGGGCGCGAAAGTGGTAAGCTATCCACTACTACTTGATTCCTTTATCTTCCCTGGCACTGATTGTTGGACACCAATGGACATACTGTACTCATCTTCTCTGAGGGCATTTTGTATTCTTCAACATGATCAGACTCTTCTTGAACAGGGCCAATATCCAAGTGGTGCCCTAAGAATTACATTTCTGACTTTGTTCTTGTACACTCACATAGTTCCTTTAGGGTGATCGTAAGGCAGTCCTTTTGAACTGTTAGTTTTGGCTTGTGTGTATTAGTAAATTGATTACTTTCTTTTTGAATAGTCTGTGGTCACCCTTGCCCTTTTCCATCATTCTTTGTACTTGGTTCAGTGAGCACTTACCAAAGCACATTCATTGTTGCTGTACTTTCACCTTTGTGTTTCACTTGGTGTTCAGTTTATCTGGTCATGGTAATTGAGTTTCATATTTTTCATCCTACTGCAGCCTCATGCATACCCCCATATTGTGCTCTTGTGCTTATTTTCACTTATTTCACCTACGATATGGTCTAGCATTGAGAGATTTGTTGTTACTGCTGCAAGGTGGTGCATTAATAATTGATCTGGACCCTTCTCTTTTAAATTTGGCTCCTGTTGTTTCCTGGCTATGGTATCAGGTTTCCATATCTTGGGTGGCAGACATTCCCTTTTCATTGGAGAAGTGGCATACCCTTCATTAATTTACAAATCCTGGACGGGAAGGTTTCCCCTATGCTTAATGTCTGTGTCCAAGGAATCTCTTGATTTCCTGAACAAGGACCTGCTTGTTCTTGACCCGTGCTGAGACACTGGGTCTTGGTAGTTATTAGTCCTGGTGGTGAGTAGTCGCAGTGTTAGGTCATTTACAAGTCAGTGTAGTTCCTCACACTGTTTTAAATTGTGTTCCAACTACTTCATCGGGTGTTTTGGTTTGTTTTCCTTGCACATTTTCCATTGGAGTCTTACTCAGCCAAGTGGTAGGGATGTTGGTGTTCTTGTTGCTTATGTGATTACAGAACCTCTTATTGCCACTTCTCTTCCTCTTATTACTTCCTTTTCTGGGTGGTTGTGGCATGCATCCAGTGATGGGAGTGGTTCTCAGGTCCATGATCAAGAGTCCCATCAGCCCTTGCATGATAAGCCTCCGTTATGTGGCAAGGCCATGTTTACGTGTCTTCTGGCAGGCTTGGACTTGAGATGCTTGACCATTTCAAATGATTACCAAGATCTCACATTGGCTCATTTCCCTGTGCCTCCTTGGTGTGTCTGGGTCCTGCAAAACCATCCAAATTATTCCTGGACTCCGGATTCATAAAACTGTTACTCAAAGAGTTACGAACCTGTACATCTTTTCTCAATATTTGGCGGCTTTGTTTACAATTATTAAACAGTTAATGAGCTCCGAAACACCAGGCGTCTGTTTATAACAATAACAACAGTTGATTGGGAAGTTTTCATGCTTGTAAACTCTTTAATGAAGGTAACCAAAGCCATCAAAGATTGAGGAAAGAGATACACGTTCAGAAGTACTTGAGTAATTGCTTTATGAATCTGGGTCCTGGTAGCTTAGATACCCCAAAGTTCCTGTTGTCTTATGATATCTTGACTCGGTTCTTGCATCTGTCCAAAATTCTGGATGATTACCATGTTGGTGGTTTGCCATGTGGTGTCTAGCTATTCTCTGTTCCTTTCCCTGGATTTCAAGAATTCCTATTGGCATGTTGAAATTCATGCAAAATTCAGGAATTACCTTGAGTTTCAGATTGCACTCCTCCCATAGCACTTTAGGGATGTTTCCCAAGATGTTTATCAGGCTTAACCCATGCATCATCTGTGACTGGGGGTTGGTTTGGGTTACTAGATTGGTGTCCCTCACCCTGTCATAGGCTTAAGTTGGCTTGTTTGTAGGTCATGTAATGTTTGTAACCAAGGCTTAGCTTAACGGGCAGCCTTATGTGATAACTCAGGAGGCATGTCTTTAAGTCAATAAGAAAAGCAATTACATATGCACTTTTCATTCTCTCCTGTGTGTGTGTAGATATCTTTGTGTTAAAGATAATGTGATGTGTGTCAGGTCTGGCAACTTTGGGTAGGTATTGGTGCTGTCAGTTAGTGGTAGGTGACTGACTTTGTCAGGTGAGCAAATGAGCAGTTTGGGAATCCTCACTTACGTCACTTGTAATGTAAATTGAAGATTTAGTAGAGCTTTCAGTCTCTTATAAATGCAGCTCAAGAACAAGAAGTAGTCGTAGGTTTTTTTTGTTTTTCTCTGTGCCATCTAGCTAACACTTGCTTAGTTTTTGCTGTAAAAACAAAAATGCTAACAAAAATATTAGAAAGTTATCTTTTGCAAACAGTTGTAAATGGTTGAAAGAGGTAAAGGAAGGAAGCAGTGGATGCCAAAATGATGTCAGTAGTTTCAAAGTGTCATATGACAGTACTGGGAAGATGACACCAGAAGTGTAGCTCTCATCCTGTAACTACACTTCGGTGAGGAAGTTGTGGTTAGGTGAGGCAGTTGTACTTGTATGACCTTATATTGACCCTTCTTGAGGTTATCTTGAGATGATTTCGGAGCTTTTTTAGTGTCCCCACGGCCCGGTCCTCGACCAGGCCTCCACCCCCAGGAAGCAGCCCGTGACAGCTGACTAACACCCAGGTACCTATTTTACTGCTAGGTAACAGGGGCATAGGGTGAAAGAAACTCTGCCCATTGTTTCTCGCCGGCGCCTGGGATCGAACCCAGGACCACAGGATCACAAGTCCAGCGTGCTGTCCGCTCAGCCGATTGGCTCGTCCGACCGACCGGCTCGTCCCTTCAAGGACGTTTGAAAATATCCCTGCAGCATCGGTGTCAGTCATCCACCCTGACTCTACTGTACATGAATTTAGACTATGACAAAGTGGATTCTTACGCTATGGAGCAACAGATAGCTTTGTTCAGAGTATATTGTCTCAAATCCTTATATTGTATTTATAATGATAAACTTGGAATAGGTTAAATGGGGGAATCAAATATACAGCACAATAATGTGATGCCATTTTGACTGGTCAGTGACAAGGAGGAGTTTTAGGCAGCAACCATTCCCTCCCATTAGGAGGCCTGGTCGATGACCGGGCCGCGGGGACGCTAAGCCCCGGAAGCACCTCAAGGTAACCTCCCCATCCCTTCTTATTTCTGTACATTAGTATCTTTATAATGTTTATTTCACTTTTTTGTTTAATTATGAAATAGTTTGGATATGTTTATTCATTAGAAGGCAACATAAATAATGTGGCAGGAAGATGACCAGTGTTTGAGGAAGGAAGATGGGTGGATCAGACAGCAACATACCAACACTCTTACTCCCTCACTGTATGCAATATTGCAGGTTCCTTTATATTTTGGCAGTAATGCAAAGTACTTGGAAACATAATAGCTCCTACCTGCAGACATATTGTGATACATTTTAAAGTTTTCTAAATTGAGCATTAAATGTTTCTTGATCTGGTTTAAAACCATCACTGAACTTTAGTTCTCTTGTGACTCCCTACAAAACTATGCCATTGGATAACCTGTACTAAAGAATAGATGGATATAAATACTGTAGTATGTCGTTTAAGTGCAGCGCATACCTTGTTAGGAAAAGAAATTGTTTGTAATACTGTATATGATATGTAATACTGTATATGATAACTTGGCTTATTGTTGTACATTTCTATTTTTAGGATGCTGACATTTCCATCCGACGACGAGCAATGGAGTTATGTTTTGCACTGATCAATGGCAATAATATTCGCACCATGATGAAGGAGTTGTTGACGTTCTTAGAAAAAGCAGAACCTGAATTTAAGGCCTCGTGTTCATCTAAATGTGTTCTGGCAGCAGAAAAGTTCTCGCCTAATGTTCGGTGGCACATAGACACGCTTCTCAAAGTTGTGGAAGCTGTAAGTTAAATTTCTATTTTACATGTTAGGTAAAAAAAACTATCATTATTTTTTTCATCTGAAAAAAAAAATCCATCTGAAAAGCAAATTTAACAAAGAATGATAAACTTATACTATTTGGCTGTGCAGACAAATTTCTCTTCTCCTTAAAATATGAACTATATCATACTCTTATCATTTCTTTGTTACAGGCTGGAAATCACGTACCAGATGATGTGGTGTCATCCACTATACAGTTAATATCAGAGACACGAACAGAACAAGCCTATGCCGTTGGGGAGCTGTGGCGACACCTATCAATTGCTCAGATGGAATACCAGCCTATGATCCAAGTCTCCACTTGGTGTATAGGCGAATTTGGAGATTTATTATTAAGTGGTATGTGCTTTTAATTGAGTAATGTAGTTTGGTATCCCTGGTAGTACTTTCTTAAGGGTTTACCTTCATTTCTGGGATTTCTCCTCAGTAGCTCCCCATAACTTGCACTCTGGTGAAGCTGATTCATGAGATGCTGACCTACTCTGATCCACTCTTAGTCAACACTGAAATGAGAAAATGAAGCCCTCTATGAGAAAAGAGGAACTTGGGGATCGGAGATGAACCCAAAGTTGAGCAAAACTCACTAGAAAGATAGGCAGAACAACCAATATACTCCCTGAAGAATTAATAAATTTTGAGGCCAACAAGCTAAACTGTAGTATCGTCAGTAGAACAACACTTGTCTTGATACACCCAGTCACCACCAGATGGCAGTCGGATATTACTTCGGGTTCAGATCATTTGCGCACCTTGCTTGCCTGAGAATATAACAGCTGTCTCCATTCCGACTTCCCTGGAGGTTCATTGTCTGTATTGTGGTGAATTGCTTCAGTCCTTCAATTTTTGGAGCTTGAATTTGTGAATAGTTCATCATCTGCATTTTCAGGGTTTGGTCCTCGGAGCGGTTCACACATGGGGTGTGTCCAGCATTCACACAAACAGTTTTGTTTGTTCAATTTCCATGGAGTGGACCATCAACAATATATCCTTCTGCTAGCTCTGCAAGACTGCAAGACATTGTCACCCCATGGTGAACCTCTTCACCCCATGGTGGACCTCTTCATGTCTGCTTGGAACCAGCAGCCGCCTTCCTATGTTGCTCCATCCCCCTTATCACAAGGCTCTCGTGGGGGATGCCTTTTGGCTGGACTGATCAAGGTGTGGATTCTTCTCTCTTCCCTCTAGTTTGGCTGTTGTTCCAGACTGGAGCCTTTCACTGGCCAGCTTAGCCTTGGTTGTCGGCTCTTGTGGCTTTGTGTCTGATCCCCAGCATCTTTCTGTTATTCCAACTCTTTCAGGAGATTCGTCCAGAGAGATTTCTGGCTGGTTCAAGGTTCTCCTCCAATCTGCATGTCTATAGTTTCTAATGCTTATCTATTGCCATCTGTATAGTGCACAGGTGGCTGAGCTCTTGGTCTCCCACCTGCATCTTTAATCATCTGTTCCAATTCGAGGGGATCTGTCCTTTTCATCCTGGTTAAATGTTTATTGGCTTTCAGTGTCGATGCTTCCTCAGTGCCGTTTTGTAAGTTGTCTTGTGGATTTTTCCACCTATAGCCTGTACATTCTCCTCCTGTGCCATCTTGGTCTCTGGATAGGGTGTTGATTTTTCTTTTGTTGGCCTTTACTTCCTTTTGTAGAGTTGGGGGAGCTCCATGCTCCAGAAGCAGGGGTTTGTTCTTTCAGCCCTGGTAGAAATTCTTTGCTTGCAACCTTTCCTTTTCTGTGAAGATTGAGACAATTCGTTAACAAAGGGGTCCTTTAGTCATTGATTCTTCTATTGTCTGGCTGTAGGTGCATCATTTGTTGTGGCCAGTTGGGCTGTTCGTTGCTACCTGTGTATGACCCGGTATATTTCAGGTGATGCGTTGTTTATTGATCCTGTCTCTTTGGTCTCCAATTCCAAGGCTATTTTGTCTGAGGTTACATGCAGTGTGAAAATGTAGCCAGCTAGTAGTGTACCCTCAGCCACATAATGTTTGGCAGTTTGCAGCTTTGACTGCTGTATTTTCTAATGCCTTGGACTAATTTCCAGGCTCTGGGATCTTGGAGGTCTACCAATGTCTTTATGGCTTGTTACCTACCCGGTCAATGTCCATGTTCATCTTCAAGCTTTTATTGATCTTCCTTGTCTCTCCTCTTTGGAATTTGTTCTTTCTTCTTTTTCCCTTGTTAGTCCCATTCTTCTTTGTGGTTGGCTACTGTTTGGCCCCTTCAAAAAATCATTGTTAAATGTAATGTAGTGCCTCTTTCTGAGGAGGCCACAGTGGGTCCCTGGACCCTCCATTCCTACCAGGTGTGTTGGTTGGTCTTTTTTAGATTCCAGATCATTGTTGGCATGGGACGTAGGCACCGCCAGTTACGGTGGTAGGAAGAAGGCCTGGTTGATCCCTGATTGATGGGGCTCTGGGAGTTCTTCTTCTCCCCAAGCCCGGCCCGAGGCCAGGTTTGACTTGTGAGAGCTTGGTCCACCAGGCTGTTGCTTGGAGCGGCCCGCAGGCCCACATACCCACCACAGCCCGATTGGTCTGGAATGTCTTTTAGAAAACAGTCTAGTTTTCTCTTGAAGATGTAACAGCTCCCCCCCTCCCGAGGAGGAGGGAGCTGCACAGACGGCGGCGCGGCGATGTAGTGATGTCATGCTCGTTTGCTCGTTTCTGTTTGGGGTACACTAGTTTCTGTTTGTATAAAACCAGCGTTTCTGTACACTAGTTCGGCTCTCAGTAGCAATTTCTTAACCAGAATAGGGGTTTGTTTTGGGTTGCCTACCATTCTGGGTGCCTGACCCGGTCGATGGCAGATATAGAATGCCTCCAACCACATGAGGGTTTCTATAGACAATTGCTCTTCGTGGGTCTCTGAAGGGGCCAGGTTCTGGCTCGTGGTCCCCAGATGGCCTAAGAACTCTATACACATGACTGATGCCAAAGTCTGACATTAGCAATATCAGCCTGGATAGCTCCAGGGAGCCTACAGGTCTCATCCAGAAAATGGCGTTTCATTACATTCAACGCTGGTTTTATACAAACATACTTTGGAACTTTTCATTTAATGTTTTACACATTTCCTCTTCATTTTCTGTGAAATCTGTTTCCCATTTCCAACCTCTGAATATTATCCTTTACCTGCAATTTATTGTTTATAAATTTATAGAATAGGCCTAGTTCTGTTTTACATTTGTCCACAATCCCCTTTTCAAAATTTCTTTTTGCCTCTCTCCTCACTGCCGTGTAGTTGTTTCTCGCATCTTTGTATCACTGGTATGTTTGGGGGTTTGGCCTCTTCCTATATTGATTCCATTTTTGTGTCTTTTGATCTCTGGCCCTCTAGCAATTTCTGTTGAACTAATCTTGTTTCCTAGTTCTGCATCTCTGCTCTGGCATAAAAAATGTTGTGCCTTTATCATGTACACTATTTCATTCAACCCTACATACATCTCATTTACTTTCATTTACTTTATATTTTTTTCACTTTCCACAGTCTTTGGAAAAGTGAGAAAATACTAATGTGGATCATTTTGATCCACATTAGCTTTGTTTTCAAAATGTTAGCACCTTAGAAGTAGTACGAGAGAGCAGTAGTGCTGGGGAGACGGGACACCACGAGCGTAGCTCTCATCCTGTAACTACACTTAGGTAATTACACTTAGGTAATTACCAACTTGTGTTGCGACATGTACTTGTTAAACACTGGGGTTGGAACAGCACTGTCTTTGTTTCAGTAATCCTGTACAATGTGGTACACATCATGTTCCATCATCATCACACACAGTGCAAGATACACATACATTTCAGCCACAGTTTTCTCTTTCCAATGTCTCATTGGAAAGTTTTAAGTTTTAGTCTTTAATGTTTTTCATGCCCGAAACGCTTTGCGTAATAGTGGCTTTAGGCATTGTATGTTCTAGCTCTATCTATAAATCTATCAATTTTTGTATAACCTCTTGTATGTATGTACTTTACCTGAATAAACATTTGAACATTTCATACATGAAGCTGGTAATATGCCAGATGCAACGAGTTGCACTGCATACCTGTTTGTTTCGTCAACGAGAGGTTTCACACGTGGCTCATTAAAATAAGCCATAAAATCATCGCTTTCACTTGAATTGTCGCCAATCCACAAGAAAGTGGGTGTAACACCAACATCCGTATCATCAAGTGTGGGAATTTCTGAAACAAAATTAAGAGCAAACAAGAATACGCACATGTTGCTTGTACTGGCACCAATACCACAGGTATTACCACTGTCAGGGGCCCTGGCAGCTGAGTGGACATTGCTTTAGATACATAGTCCTCAGGTTCTGGATTTGATCCCCGGTGGACGTGAAAACAAATGGGCAGAGTTTCTTTCACTCTGATGCCCCTGTTACCTAGCAGTAAATAGATACCTGGCAGTTAGACAGCTGCTACGGGCTGCTTCTTGTGGGTGTATAACAAAAAGGAGGCCTGGTCGAGCGGGCTGCAAAGACGCTAAGCCCCAAAATCGTCTCGAGATAATCATATCATATCAAGTCCTCATGGCTGGAGATATGCCAGCACTTGGCAAGGTGTGGTGCTGAGACAGGGAATCTTTGCCTAGTAACATCACCACAAGAGCTGCTAACACTTGGTTCATCTACGATCCTTGTATGAGAGCCATTGTCACTGAATTACCTAAAATTCTTGTCCTCTACATTAACATGTTGATCAAGAATTACAGATGGCATAGGTGGTGGTAATATTGGCAGGGGTGCTGATCTCATGTGGTGCGGCAGGGCGGGTGAGAGCTGTGGACAGTTCATGCTCCCTGTATCCTCATCTTTAATGTTAGTATCACTTGGATCCGATACTTGTGTTAGGTCTTTATTGGGCTTTGGGTTGTCAACATCACAATCATGGTCCTCTTCAAAGAGTATGTCTTGAATTTCATCTTTAGACAGTGGTTTTTCAACCATGGGACCTAAGGAAAGCGTGAGCTAGAAGTCTATACATCAGTCATGGCTGCTCACTCAAAACTGAGCCTACCAGTAACTGTGGGGCACGATGAGAATATTTTACAAAATTGCAGACACTCACTGGAGGCCTCTGGCCACAGTATAATACTCAACCTACAGCATAAGTTTTGAATCTTTAGATGTACTAAAAATATGATATGCTGGTGTGCTCAACCCCATTCCACATATCATAGGTTGTTCAGTACAGGGATTGAAAACAGTGATTGGAGCCCTGTTAAGGGTGCTACCAATTATACCCTCATATTTCCAATGCTCCATGGGCTGATTTCACTATGGGAATCTTTCATTTTAACATATGATATGATGGGCAACTTTTACCCCAGTCTGTGACCTCTGTCCCAACATGTTAAGCAAATCCGTATATCCCCCATTTGAGCGAACTCTTGTCCGTGGAATTAGATGAATTAATCTGGCTGGGAGAGTGCGCATTCCACCGGGGAATTCACCAAATCAAGGTTCGTTGAATATAGGTTCCACTGTACCTGCAAACAAGTTTTCTCACCGGCATCAAGTGAGATATCTCAGTGAGCGCAGTACAAGGGCCCTACTACCTTGAGGCTACCTTGAGGTGCTTCCGGGGCTTACTAATGATGACTTCCAGATCCTTTCCATATTCCAATTTTGCAATTTCAGCACTTTATCATCATTACCAAAGAACTAAAACCCTAATACCATGCCGGAATTACTAATACACCTAATACACCGATTAATCAATCTTCATGAATATGCCATTAAGATTTACATGTTTCAGTGGAATTCTAATTTTTAAGGTTGATATAGAATTTATCGCCTGTAATAAGCTGCTGATATTATTATTCGTATGTTTTTCAGGACATGCTGATGTAACTGTGGTGGAATCTGATTTGATAGACATTTACCAGAAAATTTTGTGGTCATCACAGTGTTCTATTACGACAAAGGAGTATGCCCTTACCTCATTAATGAAGCTCTCAGCGAGACTCACCCATGAAGTTGGGTGAGCTGACCAATTATACTCTTGTCTTGTGTTGGGTTAAAGATTTGCTAGCAACACTTGTCGATCCTTGCCATATACCCTGTACAGTATATATCTTTTGCAAATTATATAAAGAACTTGAGCCATATAAGGATCAGGTTCCTTATATGATTTGGTTTATTTTATATAAGCTTTTTCCAGTTTCATTATAATAAGTTAGGATTGGTAACATTATTAGATATTTCTTATGATGTGCAAAATATTTACTGTGGCAGGGAAATATAAAAATTCCTACACTTGATTTTATCTCCCTTATGTTTGACAATATTTTTATTAATCTACTAAATGTTTGTATTTGGACAGATCTATACAACAAGTTGTTAGTGCTTTTGGATCTCACCTGAACATTGAGCTACAACAAAGAGGAATAGAGTACAGTCAGCTCTTCACCAGACACAAGTATGTATTATAACTAAACTTAGAGATACATTTGCTTTAAGATAGAGCGTTGTGATATAAAGTACAGTACCTTGGGGTTACCTTTCATTGGTTCCGAGGATCAGTGTCTCATGACCCGATCCTTGTTGTTCACTTGCCACATGCAGGACAAGATGTATGTTGATGAGATGTGTTGTCATATAATAGTGCTTTTTGTAAACAACTGAGAAACTAATTGCCATAGAATACACAAATTGTCACAAGGTATTGAGAAACAAATTGATGGCAATACTTTTGTTTAATTTTGTTTTAATAGTGCTGCATGTGGGAGGATTTACCTCTTATCTATAGGTTTGAATATGAGTTGAGCAATGTTGCCTCATAGCAAGAGTATTGTGCTCTAGCTCCCTTAGTAGGGTCCTGAGACTTGTGCAGCCTATAGGAAACCTGGATCAGAATGTGAGTCACACAATATGTGAGGGAAAAGATGGGGGTTCCAAGGTTGACCCAAACCCCAGAAACTGTCCAAAATGTCCCCATAGAAACAAGCCACTTACTGCTCTTAATAAAGAAATCAAATTAAGAGAAAAGGGAAAAGATAGTTGTCTATGTATAAACAAGGCTTGCTCCAGCACCACCCACCCACCAGACGAGGTCACCTGGGCCCTCGTCCGCCTCCCTCGTTTACAAGCCGGGTACTGACCCTGTCGCACATCCTCTGCATCACCCCATTATTACTGTTGCTTAAACCAAAGTGGTATTGGCTTACTTAGTGAAGTTTGTCATGTTTTGTGCTTTGTTGGGGAGTTTCAGGCATCAGCCCACACCAGCACTGCTTAACGTGTATATATTCCCATTTTTTAGTTTACATATATTTCTTCTTCTCACTGGTGTTTGAGTGAAGGTGTTTCTCCTGATGATTACACGAGGGGTAATGAGACGCATTGCTCAGTGGTGCATCAATGTTGATGATTTGGCAAGGCTTGAAAGTTGTTGCCAGTTTATGCAAGTCTGACAATGAAATTAGATATCTGAGTAAGTCTTTTACACATATTGGGTTTTGGTTAGCCTTGGTGTTTTGATGGTATTGTAAGCTGTATTGGCGTTTTAGTTGGTAAAGGCGGGAATCTAATTCATTTAATATTATTGTTCCTCCGGGGTTATATGCCCAGGAAAGAAAAGTGTGGGCCTTTGTAAGATGTTAAGTATGCTAAAGTCTCTAGTTTATCATTTGGGAATTGATTTGGGTTTATACATTTGCATGTTTGGTTACTTATTAAAAGAAAAATATAGTTGTCCTGTCTTTGCATATGAACATTTTGAAAATGAGATTGTTTGGTAGCTAGCTACTAAGTATGGTTTTGATAAGTAAAAGAATTTAGTTCTATGAGTTTTTATATTTTTAGCATTCCAGGTAATTAATAACCTGTCGATGATTCTGAGGATCAAAGTTCCCATGGCCCGGTCTCTGACCAATCCTCCTAGTTGGTGGTCTAATCAACCAGGCTGTTCGATATGGTTGCTCGCGGCCCGACGCATGATTCACAGCCTGGTTGATCATGTATCCTTTGAAGGCGTACATCAAGAACTCTTTTTGAACACTGCGAGAGATCGAGTAGTTATGCCCTATGTGTGGGGCAAGTGTTTTGAAAGTCTTGTGCCTTTGATATTGATCAAGTTCTCTCTCAGCTTACCTATTGCAACTCTGCTTATCAGTGGGGCTATTTTTCACATCCTGCTATGCCTTCTGGACTCGCTTGGTGATATTTCTGAATGCAGATTTGGAATCAGTCCTAGTATTTTTCAAGTGTAAATTGTTATGTATCCCACTTGCGCTCTAGGAAATACAGATTTAAAATTTTTAAGCGACCCCAATAATTTAATATTTTATCAAGTGGATTCTAGCAGTAAAAGATCTTGGCATGCTCTTTAGGTCAGCAAATTCTGCAACTTTGAGTGGGGCTCTTAGTATACAACAATTTTCCACTCTTTAGAGCACTAGTTGTGAGGAATCTTCCGGTAATTGATTAATTCAAGAGATTGTATTTTAACTGTATTTATTACTTCTAAGCAGACTATATTTTATAATTTATTGTCACCAGTAAACTTCCCTTCACATTTTGGAGGGGGTTTCATATTTTAATCTGACTGTAATTGAACAATAGATTTAATTAATTAATGTGTTAAATTACACTACGTCAGTTAAAGACTATTTCAAATGGCCTCGGGTGGTTTAGTGGTGTTGGCTGGTCATCCAACACCAGATACCCTTGGACACATGTACTCCAGGTGTTAATGGTGGGTGTTGGTATGTGGTGTGGTCCAGCTTAACTAAGGCCCATGTGGTCACGTTCACCTGGGGAAACGATACACTGTAAAATGACTACATATATGTACAGGTGTTACACATGACATTGAGTGAATAATAGTGCATAACTTACCCTTGTGGGTGGTGCTTCCCTGCACCCTAACCATTAATCCTAGAGACGGCATAATTGGCCAATAAATCTGAGCTATTAGACTAACCGAACTGTGACACGTTCCTTAGTTCTTGCAACAATTAGTGACTAATGTGAGTCACGTTGCCCTTTGGGATTTGCCGGTAGAGTTAATGGTTACGTGGTGGGCTCGATGTTGACTCAAAAACCTTGTGACGTGTCAACTTCCCAAGTTCAGTGCACTCTTAACCACACACAACCATGCTGCCTCCTTCCTCTCCCTGCCTCCCCAGAGATCTTTGTTTACATTCTGAGATTCGAAAGTAGGAATGGGTTTGATGTGAAATCTTTATTTACTATATATTAAATTTACTAGATTCACTTTATTGTATTACCAGTCCTGAGACAGGTAGAATTTATTTTAAATGAATAAAAAATATTTAAAAAATAGCGGGTAGCTGACCCTGGGTACTTCCCAGTTTTCTGTAACTTTTCTATAAGTAATGTAAATTAATAGCATCTTATGGCTGTTACATTCTAGGTAATTCTGGAATGTTCTGGAATTACATTACATTGGGAGTTAGACTGCTGCTACGGGCTGCTTCCTGGGGGTGTGTAACAAAAAGGAGGCCTGGTCAAGGACCGGGCCGCGGGGACGCTAGGCCCCGAAAATCATCTCGAGATAACCTCAAGATCTCAAGATACATTAGTTTTATATTTTATAAAGAAATTTGCGACACTAGTATTTTAAAAAGTATAATCACTAGTGAGGTCTTTTTTGTTGTTTTTAAAGATTCTTATTTTCAAACCTGCCATTTTTCCTTGCAGTCTTGACAGCTATTTTGTTGTGATTTAAAAATAAGGTCTTTGACACGACTACTTCTAAATCAAGTGTTTAGGTAATAATGAGTTGGGATGCAGTGTGATGTAATTAGTACACCAGGTATATTTGTCTAGAAGACTGTGCATTAAAAGCTAGATATTCCTTCCCTGTAGTCAGTGATAGGTAAGCAGTTTCCTCTCTCTGAGAGCTATAGATTTATCAGGTAAACCCTCCCATACAAGTTTCAACATTTTCTGTTAAAATTTGTTAGTGCTTGCTCCCTCACTCTCACTAGTAGTCATGCATGTATTTCTTTTTTGTTTTCCTAATATCAGATACAGTACAGTACTTGTGCCTAATCCAAATACTCTCGCAACACTCACAGTGGCACGGCTGTTCTCGTCAAGTTCGACGACACTTATCCTTAATTGATAGAGTAACGTTCTCAACACCACTCATGTTGATTACTGTTGCCTCTGAACATCTTGTTGGTTAAAAATTGTCAAAGTTGGTTTTAAAGTAATAGTGTAATGTTAGGAAAGAAAGACCTTTGGTTAGGAAGTGTAGGAACACATAGCTCAGCAAGCTCATGGGACTGGGACAGGTCCAGTCGGGACGCTGCATCAGCTGCCTGGTGAAAAAATATACGGCATATATAATATAACTTGTATCAGTAGGGAAAGACATCGTACAGCATTTACATGGATTTTTTACAATCAAGAATTTTGTCATAATATATATTTTATTCAATTTTTATTTTAATGATACATAAAACAAATAACGTGTTTGTATATTGGAAACAGAACATTGTGTCAGTCAATAACCCAACATGAAAGTCATATTATTCAGATTATTTGTCTGACTTAAGCAATGGTCAAACTCAATTTTTTTGTCTGAGTTACCTGAAGATTAAAATTACTGAGGTCCAAATCAATCAATGGTGATGGTACTAGGCTCAGGTCTCAGGTCTTAGGTCTTTGATTGTCTTGTCTCGGGTCTACGAGCAGTGGGAATCAAACGTGGACCGAAAACGAATTGTTGGGATGTCCAAGTTGACCAAGGACAGGCAGCGGGATGGTGTTTGTATTGTATTATGAGATGTGTCTGGTATAGGAATTGATAACACATACTTTGAACAGATGTATCTGATACTTTATAGATTTTAATGAGGCCTTGTTTACAAGTACATAACAAAGCATTTATGAAATAGTATGCTTCTTTACATAATCATTTTGAGATTCAGTTTGGTATTTTATCACTTAAAATTTGAGTACACTCAACATCCTCCCTTCCGGACACCTCAGCCCTAATTGTGATTGGATAAGTAGTCAAATCCCCCCACAAGCACAAAAAATAATAACTATGTACAAAAGTATGTAAGAATACATTGTTGTTTCACTAAATACTTTAAACAAAATGCCACAGAATACTTATAATAGAGCAACAATATATATGGGTACTCACCAAGTGTCCACATGTTAACCTACATATAATAACAATAATTCTGATCCTGGAATAATGTGAAGGTTATGTTGAGGTGAGTTACCTTGGTGAGGTGAGTATGGTTGTGATAACTGAGGGTTGAGGCCTAGATGTTGAGGGGAGGGTTGGCTTCTTGTTTGGTTAGGTTAGCTTTGGTTTAGTTAGCTTTGGTGTAGTTAGGTTTGAATGGGTTAGGTTTGATTTGGATAGGTTGGTTTGGCTAGGTTGGGTTTGCTTTGATTTGGTTAGCTTTAATTAGTTTGGTTTGGTTTTGTTGGTTTTGTTTGGTTAGGTTTTGATAGTTTTGGTTTGGTTAGCTTTGGTTTGGTTAGGTTATGTCAGGTTTGCATTGGTTATCTTTGCTTTGGTTAGGTTTAGTTAGCTTTGGTTAGGTTTGGGTTGGCTAGGTTTGGTTAGCTTTGATTAGATTAGCTTTGGTTAGGTTTAGTTGGGTTAACATATGCCAGTACAAACTTGTTTCATTGGCATTATAAATTTGCTCAGGAGAGAAAGAGAGAGAGAGAGAATCACGATCTCCAATTTGGACACATTTCTCTGCACTTCTATCCACCACTCAGGAGACATTCGAGATTCATCTTCCTTTATAAGATAAATGCTCTAATAATAGGTCATAACAATATGTTCTCTCTTAACTTCACTGCTTGTTGAAGCCCTAAACAACATATTTCGAGCATTTCTAGATGCACTAGTAGCAGGATGTAAAAAATATGCACAGATATAAAACAGTGAGAGAGAGAGAGGGAGGGAGGGAAGGGGGATGGTTTTGTCTGCCACGGGTAAACAAAAACAAACAGCGGCGCCACCTGTGGAACTACACAGGCTTTTCTGGGAATGGATCACAAATGATTAGATGGAATAAATGAATGATTGAAGTTCGATAGCAAGGTCGGAGAGTGTACTTATAATATTTATCACTAAGTGCTTTTGTACATAGTCCTTGGAGCACTAAATCAATTTTCATTCTGTAGCCATATGCGAGGACCTCTGTTGGAACGGATGCCACCATTTGAGGGTACAAGAGCAAGTGCAGAACAAGATAAGATGGCAATCACAAATGGAATTGATGCTTCACCTGACAACCACTCGCTCCTCAATGACCTAACATCGCCAAACAACAACGCTCATGAAACAAATGAATCGGTAAGATACTCCTGGCTTTTGTACTTGCTGCCTATTAGGAAAAGTGCTGTTTTTGTTGTATGAAATAAAAAGCTTGTAGGAATTAGAATTATTTAACTGCAAGACTTTTTTTTTTTACTGTGCATCTCATCAGGTGATGGGGTGGCTGAATATGCTCAAAAGTATTTTGGGTACTGTGATTTAAGTCCTACACATACACAGGGTGTATATGTATTACTTAAATTAACTGTGTAGGAAGCACTCATTTGATTTCTCAGACCTCCAATAACTATCTCTCATCTTGAAAAAAAATCCAGAGTCTCTCACTTTCCTTCTAGGGCCTTAGTGAGATGATGTGGACCATGTCTGGCACATCACCAGTGTCTAGATGTGCATGGTGGCCATTCTAGGAACTATTAAAACTTTTAACAGCAGGAAATGAGTGATTACTATGTGAATATTTACAGGCAAAATGTGTGCTATGTGCATTTATAGAGTATGATTCAAAACTCCCGCGGCTACATGGGGTTCACACCAGCTTCCTTAATGCTCTTGTAAACAGACGCCATTTAAAAAAAAAAAAATCGTGGGCTACATTCCCGGATGTGAGAGCCTCAGTACTGAGTGAGCAACCAAGGTGGGCGCACACAACATGAGCTCACAGCACTGCTGGTTCAGCGTGTGACCACAGCATCCCCTAATGATGTCAAAATATATTTGTTTGTAACCGGGATTATTTATGCATGATAGTATTACAGAAGAGCCTGAGTTTGATAATGACTGTTTACAATGTTCAAATATCAGTGAATCAATGCTGTTAAGGATGTTCACAGCACTTGCCACAGCACCACAGCATTATTTCATCTATCTAGGAATCTTTAAATGACTTCTTTATGTTACTTTACAAAATTAGCGCTGTGCATAGTATTTTGGTGAGGGAGGAAAGGAGGGAATTGAGGTAGCGTCACTGTGTGGCAGCCACTCTTGTTTTGCTCAGCATACTTGTGTTGTCCCATCTTGAGTACTGCTCAGTACTCACTTCCCCCTTCAGAGCAGGAGAGATTGCTGAAATAGAGGGAATACAGAGAACATATACTGCACGCATAGACGAGATAAAGCACCTAAATTATTAGGATCGTCTCAAAGCTCTCTGAATGTACTCACTAGAAAGGAGAAGAGAGATATAACAAATAATATACGCATGGAAAATACTGGAGGGCCAGGTCCCAAATCTATACGGTAAAATAACAATGTACTGGAGTGAACGATATAGAAGAAAATGCAGAATAGAATCAGTGAAGAGCAGAGGTGCATATATAGGCACCTCTGCTCTTCACTGGTTCTAAAAGGAAAATAAGAAGTGATTGTCAGCTTTTCGTACAAAGGGTCATAAGAAATATTGCCATTGGGCAATGTATTTATATGATGTACAATAAAATACAGCATAACAACACACTAACTCATTATGATGTGTGAAATCTGGCCATCCATGTGGCACTAGCGGCCTATCTACTTTGTAGACCCCTCCTTACTACTACTACTTCGTGCGTCGGACAGGTGCTTGCATCTCTTTATCCCCGATTGTCAGTAAATACTAGGTGTTATCGTTATTATCAGTACCGGTTGCCGCCCATCTTGCACGCATTTATTTGTTTAAAATGTGTGAAAATTCCATTTCTTAACATGGGATGAAATTTTCACAACACTGATGCCAAATAACGGGAGATTTGGTTAGAATTTTTCACTATATTTCATATTTGGAAAAATCTCTGCAGTCACCGGGCCCCTTAACTTGCTGTTTTGGAAAAAAAAAAAATCAAAATTTATTTTCAGTTAATTTTTCGTTTTTAAATTACGTCCATTTTCGGCCATACAGGCAAACGGCCAAATGCAGACGTACTGTAATTTGTAAGAGGACAGGTTGTTTCGGCAGCCATGTCAACCTCTTGACATTTTCATCCATCCACCCATTTCGGTGGATGTGAACGAACACATCTGGTATAGACATTAGTGCTGGCTATAGCTAGGGAACTTACTTGTAAATGTTAGTAGACTAAAGTAATGGGAACTGTGGACAATAAAGACCTTTCACATGGGCAAGAAATTCTCCTAAGGTTTCAAAATGTCATGAAAACCATTAATTGAAAGTTTCCTCTCCTAACCTAACCGAGTAAGCCGGAGGACTCAAAACAGAAAAAGGGATCCTATGCATTGGATCAATTTGTAGACCAGCATACATGGTAAGTGATGTGGTAGAGGCCAAAACCATCAATAGTTTCAAGACTATATATGAGAGTGCTGGCAAAACTGGACGAGTGTAGCCGTCATCCTGTCACTACACTGGTAATTACGCTTAATACTTTGTTTCTACCTAAACCCTCAAGAATTTTTATGTAGAGAGGATGTAATAAAAGCTGCTTATTGAGAACACAAGGCCATAAGAGTTGAACTAAGGAAAAACACAACCAACCACACTGCTTTGCAAGCAGTGTGGTTGGTTGTTAATTAAATGAAAGGGTAATGTATAGTATGGCAAAACCATCAGAAGCTTCAAAAGATCACATGACAATGATAGTAGGAGAGGAGGACACAAGTACAGTAAGGGGTACCTCAGCTTGCACATTTAATCCATTCCCAGAGACAGTTCGTAACCCGAAAATTCGTAAACCGAAGTGAATTTCCCCATAAGAAATAATAAAAAGTGAATTAATCCATTCCAGACTCCCAAAAAAATTAACTGCAAAATAAATTATATATATAATTCACCCAAATCTTCAGTACAAAAGTATGTACAAGTTATTACTTACCTTTACTGATGATTCCTGTTGGCGTATGGAAGACAATGAGGAGGGGGTAGGAAGAGAGGTGTTACTGTTTGGAAGGGGAGTCCCCTTCCATTATAACACCAGGCAGTGAGGACTTCTCTGGGGTACACACTCTGGCACATTTTGCCTGCATACCACTAGGACCTGCTTGTGGCTCACTGCTTGAGTTTCTCACTTGAAATCTTTCCATTGAAGAATGTTTTTCCCCTTCTTTGTAACACTTGTCTGTAGTGAGACATCACATTGTCATTAATGAGACATCACATTGTCATTAATAAGGTCAATGCAATGGCCTGCTACTGCTAATCCCTGAACTATATGTTTAACTGATCTCTATCCCTGTCTATGGAGGACAGAAGAAAATGTATATATGCTGGTTAGCATTGTAAATGTGTGGCCACATTTGTGGTAGAAAATAATAATAATAATAATAATAAAAAAAAAAAAACTGCTTTATCTGGGTGATTCTTTTCAGCAAAACTTTTCAGTTTTTTCCATACTGCACACATTTTCTTGATGAGGAAGGGACATCCTCTACTGCCTCCTCCTCCCACTGAGGATTTGTTGTACTGCCTAGCTAGTTCAACAACACGTGTACCATTTTCATGTTTATGAATGATCTCTCTATTTTTCTTCTATGATCATTCTCACATGTGTTTTCTTGGCTTGAATCATACAACTGGTTTTCTTGGGACCCATGGCGAGTTATATAATAACAAATTTTATGTTCAAATAGCCAAAAATCCGGAAAAAAAAGGTAAATCTTTGCAAAGAATTCAGGCACGATAGTCGTCACTAGGTGGGAGGCACTGGTAAACTGAGGCGCAATCACCGTGCCACCACGCGCTAGGTTGGCCCATACGCGTATCAACAAACTTGTTTCCCAGGGCAAAGTTCGTAACCCAATTTGAATTTTCCGAAGAAATTGGGCTTGTAACCCAAAAAGTTCTTAAATAGGGACATTCGTAAGTCGAGGTGTCACTGTAGCTACCATTTTGTAGCTACTAGAGTGCAACACACACGTGCCCGTACACTTACCACCCCAGATATCATGTGGTATGCACATGGTTAACATACACACCAAGGGTGCATTGCCATTTTTCAGCAAGCACTAAATTTTGAAATTAAATTAATCACCGCTGCAGAGGTTGATGAAACACCAGTGGAGGCTGCAGAGTTGTAGCTGGCATGACTATCTTAGCTAGTGTTTTGTTAGCATCCAGCAGGTGTATTTGAAAATTTACAGTGAGACTCTCATGTGAATATTGTGAAGCCAAAAATATGAAAAGCTACAGTAAAAAAAAAAACACTAATGAATTATAAACAATGTTCGGCACGCACCCAAGTCACTTGCAGGCTTTTCACACAAAAGGCTGTAGCCAGGGCACTCACGGTGAGTGTGTAACAGAGCACGGAGCAGTGTGTTAGTGTGTGACTTCTTATTTTCCTACACTCCTCAAAATAACTAATAAAAAAACATGAATGTACAGTACCATTATGTGCAGTTGGAGGTGAGGTGACTGGATTGGTAGTGTAGTTTGAATTATTGCATCATTCTAAATCACTTATAAAGTGCAATCACTTGCTGAGTACACAATACTGAAGCTGCCCTATTTTCATTTGCAGAATTTGTGCAAATATTCACAATTAAATGTTATTTTTCAGAATGCGTTGCTCGACCTATTAGGAGGGATGGAACCAGGGGATAATGAGACAGTCCCGGCCACTAGCACAGCAGGTGTTCTCAGTGTTCCCTCAACAATGCCTGCAGTTAATGCTGACATATTGGACTTGTTAGGTAAGGACTACAGTTACTCTGCATCTTATGCTTTCTTACCCTTAGCAACTCCTCTTTGAGAAGGTGGCCTCTGAAAGATTGTTGTCTGTCCACCATTCTAACCTCCCTGTATTGTAATTTATTTTTGTGATTTGCTTGCAGGCCTATCATCAGTCATCCTCTCCACATGTTCCAACCACTGCAGTGTTATGTTTCCCTTTACTCTTCTGTCTTCCAGTGTCGTGAGGTGCATTTCCCGCAGCCTTTCCTCGTAACACATGCCTCTTAGTTCTGGGACTAGCCTAGTGGCATACCTCTGAACTTTTTTAAGCTTCACCTTGTGCTTGACAAGGTACGGGCTCCATGCTGGGGCCGCATACTCCAGGATTGGTCTTGCATATGTGGTATACAAGGTTCTGAATGATTCCTTAAACAGGATTCCTGAAGGCAGTTCTGATGTTAGCCAGCCTGATGTTATTCTTTTGATGTGGGCTTCAGGAGACAGGTTTGGTGTGATATCTACTCCCAGATCTTTCTTTCTGTCCGTTTCATGAAGGACTTCCTCCCCCATTTGGTATCCTGTGACTGGCCTCCTGTTTCCACTGCCTAGTTTCATTACCTTACATTTACTTGGGTTGAACCTTAGTAGCCATTTGTTGGACCATTCATTCAGTCTGTCTAGGTCATCTTGTACCCTCATACTATCTTCCTCAATCTTAATCCTCCTCATAATTTTTGCATCATCAGCAAACAATGAGAGGAATGATTCTGTACCATCTGGAAGATCATTTACATATATAAGAAACAGTATAGGTCCAAGGACTGAACCCTGCGGAACTCCACTGGTGACGTCTCTCCAATCTGAGAACTCGCCCCTCACAGTGACTCGCTGTCTTCTGTTACTTAGGTACTCCCTTATCCAATGGAGTACCTTCCCTTTCACTCCTGCCTGCATCTTTAGCTTTCGCACTAGTCCCTGGTGTGGAACTGTGTCAAAGGCTTTCTGGCAATCCAAAAATATGCAGTCTGCTCACCTCTCTCTTTCTTGCCTGATCGTAGAATCAATTAATCCTGTGAGGCATGACTTGCCATCCCTGAAACCATGTTGGTGTTGTGTCACAAAGTTCCTTTGCTCCAGATGTTCCACTAGCTTTTTTTTGCACAATTTTCTCCAATAACTTGCATGGTATGCAAGTTAGGGACACTGGCCTGTAGTTCAGTGCCTCCTGTCTATCCCCCTTCTTGTAAATCGAGACTACGTTCACCGTCTTCCAAATTTTTGGCAGTTCACCTGTTACCAGTGATTTGTTCTACACCATGAAGAGTGGCAGGCACAGTGCTTCTGCTCCTTCCTTTAGTATCCATTGCAATATTCCATATGGGCCTATAGCCTTTGTCACATCCACCTCTAGCAAAAGCTTCCTTACATCCCCACTGGTAATCTCAAATTTCTCTAGTGGTGCCTGGTTAACTATTCCTTCTCTTATCTCTGGAACTTCTCCTTGCTCCAATATGAAGACTTCCTGGAATTTCCTATTGAGTTCCTCACACAATTCTTTGTTGTTTGTAGTGAATCTGTCTGTCCCTATTCCTCAGTTTCATTATCTGTTCCTTCACTGTTGTCTTTCTCCTGATGTAGCTGTGTAGCAATTTGTGTTGAGTCTTAGCCTTGCTTGCTATTTCGTTTTTCTGGCTCTCTGGTATCCTTCTCTGCTCTCAGGTGTCCTGTTATTTCTATAGTTTCTCCATGCTCTTTTGCTTGCTTGCTTAGCTAGCTTACATCTCTGATTAAACCATGGGTTTCTCACCTGCAATTCATTTTTTACCTTTTGGGCCAGGATAAACTTTTCTGCTGCCTCCTTACATTTCTGTGTGATGTATTCCATCATGTCTTGGGCCGTCTTTCCCCTTAGCTCTGTTTCCCATGTTATATTCGTTAGGAAATTTCTCATCTCATAATTTCCCTTACGAAATGCTAGCCTTTTGCTTTCAGGTCCCTTTCTCGAGTACTTTAAACCTTCTTCGACCAGATTCTCAAATGTCAGTACACTGTGATTGCTCATTCCTACTGGGTCCTCGAAGTCAATTTCCCTTATGTCGGAGTCATTCAGAGTGTGGTACATGTCCTGGGTAGTTCTCCTTATCTGGTACTCTGCTTCGCATGCGTCATTCTGCCCTGCGGATGCTGTTTGCACTGCTCCTGCAGGTTGAGGTGTAGCTGTTTTTCGCTTCGCGTTTCGCGTGTCGGCTTGTGGTGCTCGCTTCCTCATTGGCCTCTGCCTGGGTCCTGGTTCTTTGGTTTTCATCGCAGAATTTGTCCTTGCTGTTTGCAGAGTTTATGGTTCGGCTCTTTCGGCAAGTGGCGGCGGCTTCTTATCGTTTGGTTTTGGCCTTGTTGGCCCTTTCGGAGTCCCGGGGGGCGGGGTGGTTCCTTCCAGACGGGTTTCCTTCCGGACGGGGTGTATCTGCTCGCCCAGGTTGGTTCTTTCCCGGCTTGCCGGGTTTGGGTTCCTAGTTCCCTGGCGGATGTTCCTTCTGGTTCCTTGCCAGCCTTGGTTTCAGTCGCTGCTTGCTCGGTGTCCGATCCCATGTTTTTTTTCCCCGGCTCAGCCTCTTCTCATGATTGGTCTGGTTCGTATCAGAGCTGGTTCGGTCTTCTCGAGTCTTCCTGTCTGGTGTTTGTGACTCGATTCTATCACCATCTTTGGTGTTCAGGTGGCTTCTCTGATGGTGTCCCTCCTGCAAGCTTTGTCTCGGCGGCAGTATGGGGTTTCGCTGGTGGTCCTTCCTTTTCTTTGTCTTTTCGTGGGTAAGGAAAACGGTTGGAAACCGCAGGTATCCTGTGGTTTCTCTCTGTGCCCTTGATGTTCATAAGTTTGCTGCTCCTGCTGCCATCTTTGGTAACATGTCCTGGGCTGACATTCGTGCATGGGGATTTTGGCAGTCAGACAGGGTCCTGGCTGCACGCTACCTCGTTGCCATTCCTGGGCCCAGTCGGGCCTGTGTCGCTTGGGTCAGCGGCTGCAACCTATCTTGACTTTGAGTTGAGGTGTGGAGCAGCGACCGCCTCCCGGATACATCCCCTTCTTTATTTTATCTTTGGTGAGGTAGCTCCCCAGAAAACCAGCGTTGAATGTAATGAAACGCCATTTTCTGGGTGAGTCCCGGAGGCTTCCTGGCAACCCTCCCTCACTCTGGTCGGCGCTTTTTTCACGTGTTTTGATATCCAGCCTCGGAACTGAAAGTGTGTATCGCCGGCGTGGGGGTCTGGGGCTCCCCCTTCTCCCTCCCGGGAAAGGGGGAGCTGCGCAGACATGCAGCATGGCTTGTGTGACGTCATGCTTGCTTGCTTCATTTTCAATTGGGGAATTCTGTCCACTCTTTTGTCTATTTTTGTTGTTTTTAACCAGAATAGGGGTTTGCTTTTTGGCGCTTACCTTTCTGAGCGCCTGTCCCGGTCGATGGCAGATATGGAATGCTCCAAAATCACATGTGCATTCTATGGGCCATTACTCCCCGTGCCTCTCTGAGGGGGCCAGGGTTTTGGCGCGTGGTCCCCAGTAGGCCTAGAACTCCACCCACATCGACTGATACCTAGTTGATGGGGTTCTGGGAGTTGTTCTACTCCCCAAGCCCGGCCTGAGACCAGGCTTGACTTCTGAGAGTTTGGTCCACCAGGCTGTTGCTTGGAACGGCCCTCAGGCCCACATGCCCATCACAGCTCGGTTGGTCCAGCACTCCTTGGAGAAAACAGTCAAGTTTTCTCTTGAAGATGTCGACGGTTGTTCCAGCAATATTTCAGATAGTCGCTGGTAGGACGCTGAGCAACCGTGGACCTCTGATGTTTATACAGTGTTCTCTGATTGTGTCTATGGCACTTCTGCTCTTTACTGATTCTATTCTGCATTTTCTTCCATATTGTTCACTCCAGTACGTTGTTATTTTACTGTGTAGATTTGGAACCTGTCCCTCCAGTATTTTCCATGTGTATATTATTTGGTATCTCTCTTGTCTCCTTTCTTGAGAGTACATTTGGAGATCTTTGAGACGATCCCAATAATTGTCTACCTACCTGTGTTACCCGCCTAGCATCCCGGAACCGATAATCCTTAGGCCCTTGAAGCATTTGTTTTAATTTCCCTAAACCAGCACATGCAGTTAGGGTTATGAGCAGTTTTACCCCTAGGAACAACTGAACAACTTTCTCTGAAAATGGGTTTTCCTTTAACTGAATAACTGATATTCTTTCTTGATTCTTCAATATTATTTTTAAGCCCATATCAAATAGTATTTATAACTTACAAGTTTTGAACTGAGGAATCAGTTTGAAATTTTAATGCTGTGAAAGCATTTGATGGAGGATTAATTGAAATGTCCTGTCAATTCTATATATTATTGCTATCCCTTGCAAAGTCCTAAAATTGATATTGTGAATTTATGATGTCTTGACATGAAGCATAAAGAGCATCATTGACTGTATTTGATGTAGGCATTGAGAGATTTACATACAAATAGTTATAAAAGGTTTACAAGGTAGAGAGCATAGTATCCAACATTAAACATGTTGGTTATATGAGAATGTATCATTGCAGGAGGGTTGGACTCTGGCCCAGCAGCACCGGTGCCGGCCTCCAACATGAACGACACAACTACTCCTGCCCAACTACCCAACTCTAGCAATGCTGCCTACCTGCTAGATGGTCTGCTCAACAACTCGACCCCTGTAATCACCTCCCTAAACTCTCCGGTCACAAACTCTGTAGTCACCATTCCTACTAGCAACCTAATTATCCCACCACTCCAAAAGTCAAGTGAGTTCAAACTTTGGAGTTGTAGCTTTTGGACTTGAATATTATAGAACTGAAACATTAAAATTAAGAGATATTTACACCTCAAATACTACAGTATTTTGAAGCACATTCTTGATGTTAATTGTGGCAACACTGTAGACTACTGCATCTGTGTAGGTATATGTTCCCCCAACAGCTAGTGTAGATTTTGACCGCATTTGTTTTGTTATGGATTTAATGACAAAAATAAGGTGTTCCAATGCTAAGAATTCTGTTGACCTATAAAATTAAAATATATATATATGTATGATATTGCAAAATTAAGTCTGATTAGCATTATGCTGTAAAATATTTAAATAAATTAGTTTGGCATAAATTTGTTGATAGTTCAGAGGAAAAACAGAAATTTACTTTTGAAAGAGATTGCTCCTCATAACTGTGACACTAGCCTTGACAGGTAATGCAACATATTCAACTCATTGAGGAAAAATAAAGGAAGGAAGGAAGTACAGCATTAGTGGGTGTGATTGGTATTCATTACTAGAGTATGCAGCACCAGCATGGAAACCACACCTCGTGAAGAACAACAGGAAACTTGAGGCAGTTCAGAAGTTTGCAACTAGATTATCATAATTGAAAGGTCTTGGCTGTGAGAACAGGTTAAGGGAACTCAATCTCACAAAAGCTGCTGAAGGGAATAGACATTGGCAGCCTATGTAAATTGAAAGGGGATAGAGGGGGACCTCAGTGAAACTTGAACAGACGGTCAAGCCCATAGAGATGTAAGGGGTTTCTTATACCCTATATGTATATGGATGGATGGCAAGGAGAATACATTGAAGGTAGTAAGTAGTAGTTGAAATTGCTTTCATCCACAACTTTAAAGAACATGTATGATTGTAACTTGAGCATCAAATTATGTAATTAGTGAACTAGGTGTAAATGGCTAGGAGGTGGAGCATAAAGAGTTAGATCTCACTTCCTTGTTGTCACTGATAGACAAGAATTGATTTACCTTGTGTGAAATATCCATTGGGTTATAGCTTTCTCCTCAAATTCCATATCTAATACTGTAGTTGGCAGCGTTTCAGAATGTCAGCTGTTTTGGACTCTGATGGCCACTGTTGTTGCCATTGTTATTTGACCTGTTGGGTTCCAGGGTTCTTTTACCCTAGGCTGTATCTTGAGGTTATCTTGAGATGATTTCAGGGCTTAGTGTCCCCGCGGCCTGGTCCTCGACCGGGCCTCCTCCCCCAGGAAGCAGCCTGTGATAGCTGACTAACTCCCAGGTACCTATTTACTGCTAGGTAACAGGGGCATCAGGGTGAAAGAAACTCTGCCCAATGTTTCTCTCCGGCGCCCGGGATCGAACCCAGGACCACAGGATCTCGCGTCCAGTGTTGTGTCCGCTCAACCACCGGCTCCCGATCTAGGCACCATTATGTGATCCACTGTGCACCCGATCTATGCATGTATGCACCATTTTTTGGCATACATGCATAGTTTTGGCTTACATGCATCAAACTTTCTAGTTTTGGCAAAGCTGCTTACTCATACTGCAGACTATCAGGCTAGAGCTGTATCACTCAACCAAGCTTTATGATATAGGCTCTTGCAGCCTATGTTCACAGTGGTTGTGTGGATGACAGTCCCTTCTCTGTTTTATGAGAATGTTTTCAAATACATTATTTTGAACACTTTTGCCATTTGCCACCAGCTTTTTCTATTTCTGCCTCGGCTAACTCCTATTTGTTTAACTTTGTGATCTGCATCTGTTTGGGCTCATCCTCCTCCTCAGCTCTCCAGGGATTCGAAGAAGAGGGGGGGGGGGGCTGGCATCTCTACCTTGATTTGCCTTCATGTTTGTAAAAGGCCTAGGGGGGGGGGGGGTTGATGGTTCCTTTGTTTGTGCTGTTACCTCTGCTACTACTCTGGGGTCTGATGTGTGTATGTAAGATTCCCTCCTGAGCCTTCTTTTGTGGCAGGAGAGGTTCCTTGGTCTTTGACCTTTTTCGAAGTTTGATCCCTGGTCAGGAGGGATTGTTATTCTTTTACACTCATCTTCACTTGTCCTCCACATGAGCGGGATGTCTCCTTGACCTCCCCGTGGAGCAGATACAGATCTTGTTTTGGTGCCCAGTTATGCCGTTTGCATAAAAAAGAAATTGCCTTTGCGTATGGCTTGTCGTGACTTGATTTGGTTAGATTTTCTGCACCATTACTCCGTGTATGTTCAGGTTCTGTCTTTATTTTGTTCCTCAGGAGCAACTAAAGAACAACCCACTGAGCTGAACATGGCAGAAAGTGCGATGATGGAAGCCTAAAATAGGCATCCTAGAACCCTTGGACACACACACATGGGAACAATCGAGGAACTAAGCTCAAACATTGATGGAGGATAAGGAATAACCTCTGCCCCATGTTTAAAACCCCCTGCAGATACCAGGATGGGTTAAAAAGCACCTAGATAACCACCTCGAGTTTCTCCCTAGCCCCGGAAACCCTAAACTGGTACCCTATGGCTAGCTACCTACTTGATGAAGATCCCAAGGATTAATGTCCCCATAGCCTGGTCTCTAGCCAGGCCTCTTGGTAGCTGGTCTAATCCACCAGGCTGTTTGATGCAGCTGCTTACAGCCAGATGTATGTGTCACATCCTGGCTTAAGAACCTGTTCACCATAAAGACATTAGACTGGAAATCAGAAGGAACCAACATTAAACCTGAAACTGGTGCAAAATACAGTTGATCAAAGTAAGTCCTGTTTAATTTTTGGTTTGCAAAGAAAAGGAGATTTTTCTTTGCAAACCAAACCACAGAAGAAGCAAAAAGTAGTAGATAAAATTGTTGAGCTAGTGAAAGGTTATAATACCAAAGAGAATGTATGCAACTACAGGAGAATTGGCAGGTACGGAAAAAGGATAGCTTGACCCTTGAGGATCACCCTAAATGGTGCTAAACCGATAGAAGAAGCACTAAGGAATGTTAGGAAACTACAAAGTGATGAAGAAGGAAAATTATGGTATTAAAACGAGATCTTTCAAAGGACGACAGAGAAGCGGAAACTGAACCTCCTAGAGGCTCAACATCGAGGTGAGGGCAGGAACGAAGAAAAATAATTTTTTCTACAATGTTATAGGGGTAGGCAAGCCTGTGAAATGGTACAAAAAGGCAAACCAACAAAATTGTTAGAGAAAGGGAGAGTTAAGAACAAAGGGAGAATGAACATGTTCCTGAAAATTGAATACACTAACATTGATGGAGTGAAAAATAAATATACTAGAGTTAAGTGATGTAATACAGCTGTAGACTCTAGACATTGTTGCACTCAGAGACGATATTTGATATTTTAAATGAGGTAGTATTCACAAGGGGCTACTCAGCTTGGAGATGGGAAAGGTCCAGGCTCTCTATGCTCTGCAATGCATTGAAATACATATTAAAGGACAAAAGGAAAGAATGAAACACAATGTTCAGTATGTTCTTGCTTGAACGAACTACTGTATAGTTTGCCTTCAGGGGGCCTGACGGCTGAGTGGACAGCACTTGGGGTTCGTAGTCTTAAGGGTCCGGGTTCTATTCCCCGGCGGAAGCGGAAACAAATAGGCAGAGTTTCTTTCGCCTTGATGCTCCTAGTCACCTAACAGTAAATAGGTACCTGGGAGTTAGACAGCTGCTGTGGGCTGCTTCCTGGGGATGTATGTGTGTGTGAAAAATAGGATTAAGGACTTGCCTGAAATGCTATGCGTGTTAGTGGCTATACAAGAATGTAAGAACTCTTGTATATATAAATAAATAAATAAATATGGGGTGGGACCGATTCGTACCATCAAAGATTTTGTTCTACCTGTCAGCCCCATGGCTACCAATCCCCCTCGGAAAAAAAATAAATAAAAAGAGGACTTACATCCACTATAAACAGAAAATCACAAACAATTTATTTATTATATATAAATATATTATATCGAACAATGCATTTAATAGAACATTCATTGGCAAACAACATCGTATCGAAGTCATAATAAAAGTTATTATTGGGTGCTCCATATATTATATACTTGGTGGTGGTTTGCATAAGCAAACTGTATCGGTCTCAATATAAATATTGACTATGGAATATAAAATATTCCATTTTGACTAAGGAATATGATAGTGATCACTTACAAACAAGAGAAATGTCAAACTTTCTAAACTGGTGAGGGTGAAGGGTAGCGAAGGAGTGAAGCATCAAGGCAGCGGCCATGTCAGCCGTATGATGCCAGTCAGCTGATCAATGGGGCCAGACCCATCTTGTGCTGGACATGTATCTTCCCTGACACCACTGACACCACCTGCCTTCCCTGACACCACTGACACCACCTGCCTTCCCTGACACCACCTGCCTTCCCTGACACCACCTACACCACCTGCCTTCCCTGACACCACTGACACCACCTGCCTTCCCTGACACCACCTGCCTTCCCTGACACCACTGACACCACCTGCCTTCCCTGACACCACTGACACCACCTGCCTTCCCTGACACCACTGACACCACCTGCCTTCCCTGACACCACTGACACCACCTGCCTTCCCTGACACCACTGACACCACCTGCCTTCCCTGACACCACTGACACCACCTGCCTTCCCTGACACCACTGACACCACCTGCCTTCCCTGACACCACTGACACCACCTGCCTTCCCTGACACCACTGACACCACCTGCCTTCCCTGACACCACTGACACCACCTGCCTTCCCTGACACCACTGACACCACCTGCCTTCCCTGACACCACTGACACCACCTGCCTTCCCTGACATCACTGACACCACCTGCCTTCCCTGACACCACTGACACCACCTGCCTTCCCTGACACCACTGACACCACCTGCCTTCCCTGACACCACTGACACCACCTGGCTTCCCTGACACCACTGACACCACCTGCCTTCCCTGACACCACTGACACCACCTGCCTTCCCTGACACCACTGACACCACCTGTCTTCCCTGACACCACTGACACCACCTGCCTTCCCTGACACCACTGACACCACCTGCCTTCCCTGACACCACTGACACCACCTGCCTTCCCTGACACCACTGACACCACCTGCCTTCCCTGACACCACTGACACCACCTGCCTTCCCTGACACCACTGACACCACCTGTCTTCCCTGACACCACTGACACCACCTGCCTTCCCTGACACCACTGACACCACCTGCCTTCCCTGACACCACCTGTCTTCCCTGACACCACCTGCCTTCCCTGACACCACCTGCCTTCCCTGACACCACCTGTCTTCCCTGACACCACCTGTCTTCCCTGACACCACCTGCCTTCCCTGACACCACTGACACCACCTGTCTTCCCTGACACCACTGACACCACCTGCCTTCCCTGACACCATTTTGTCATCATTGAACCCCTTCACCCCGGATACAATGATGAAGTCAAGTAAAGCACTATACAACTGTTTACACTTTGGTGGATCTTGGATGATATCAGTGAAATTGAGTCAAATCCAGCAGTTTACTGGGGCAAAATGATCTACATGACACAGCTTATACAGTATGTACAGTATTCACATACCACAACAAAGTAACAATCAAGTAAGGTAACACAAGGCACAAGTCACAGCAACTAGATGTCACTAAGCAAAGATAACAACATAGGTACACTAGACAGCATGGGACTGGCAACTAGGTTGTGGACAAGGTGGGTGGTGACTTTACATCAGAGTGGGAGGGGGGGGGGGTAATGTATCTGTATGAACGTCAGTAAACACAATTCACTTCATATGAGAGAACACTAGCCTTAATTGTAACCACAGACTTGCAAGAACATGCCAGGCGATTGTATTGTATGTTCTTGCAAGTCTGTGGTTACAATTAAGGCTCATGTTCTCACATATAAAGTGAATTGTGTCAATGAAAATGAACTTCTGGTCTCTGGCTACCTAGTGCAATTGGGTTATTCGTGGGGAAATAGCTTCCTCTTCCAATGACTTTTAACACTTTCGCCCCGGGCATGACACAGCATTGCATCATCCACTAAAATAATTGCCAAAAATCGGGTTTTTATCCAATTTTTGGGGGACTGTTTGGTAACTGTCAACAAGCCAAATGCAATCTGTGACTACAATACAAACATGAAAGGTGTTGATCACTTTGACCAAATGATCAAATATTATCACTTCATAAGGAAAACTCACAAATGGACGAAGAAAATGACCATCTATTTTGTGCAAATGGCTATCTACAATGCTTATGTGATGTACAACTACTACACAAAAAATACTAAACTATAATACTACATATACTAAAATACTAAATACTAAACATTTGTGGGCAGTAATTGGGAGTGTAGCTGGAAGGCGTCTGGGCGCTCACTCGCAGCTAACGCGTGGCCCGTCTTCAACTTGTTGGTGGGTGGAGCGTGACCAGGTTTTTTATTTTATATGCTAATGATCCTCTAGAGAATTCTATTGCGAACCCATTGATACCAAAATGAAAGACCTAGGACGAAAATTGAGGTGACCAGAGTGAAAAGAGTGAACACATTTTATCACTTTTGCGCGCTCCTGGGTAACTCGTTCGCACTTTCTCTGTTTGCTGCGGGTAATTAGCCAGGCTTTTGGAGTTTATATGCATTTAGTGCTGTAGAGAATTCTATTGCGAACACAATGATACCAAATTTAATCTCGTAGGACGAGAATTAAGGTGACAAAGTTGAAGAGAGTATACACTTTTCAGAATTAACACGCGCTCCCGTGAAACGCTGGGACCCAAATCGCATAGTTGAGGGGTGGCACGCGGGGGCACGCCAAAGTGTTAATTGTCTGGTGGTCAGATGGTCAGAGTCCTATACTTGTCAAGGGATTCACTGCCCCAAAAAGTTCCAAGTGTGTTTGCACAAAATGAAATCTTTATGGAACCAGACGCAACAAGAATTCCAGAGAACAACATAGAGCACATAGACGTGTCCAGAGACGAAGTGGAAAAAATGCTCAAGGAGCTAAGTAAGAACAAAGCAGTTGGTCCAGATGGAGTTTCACCATGGGTTCTGAGAGAATGTGCACCTGAGCTCGGCATTCTACTTCAACTGATCTTTCAGGCATCCCTGTGTACAGGAATCGTAGCAGACGTGTGGAAAAAGGCTAACATAGTTCCAATCTACAAAAGTGGCAGCAGGGAAGACCCCTTCAATTATAGACCTGTATCATTGACAAGTGTAATAGTGAAAATATTGGAAAAAATAATAAAAACTAAATGGGTAGAACACCTGGAGAGAAATGATATAATATCAAACAGACAGTATGGTTTTCGATCTGGAAGATCCTGTGTATCGAATTTACTCAGTTTCTATGATCGAGCCACAGAGATTTTACAGGAAAGAGATGGTTGGGTTGACTGCATCTATCTGGACCTAAAAAAGGCTTTCGACAGAGTTCCACATAAGAGGTTGTTCTGGAAACTGGAAAATATTGGAGGGGTGACAGGTAAGCTTCTATCATGGATGAAAGATTTTCTGACTGATAGAAAAATAAGGGCTGTGATCAGAGGCAATGTATTGGACTGGAGAAATGTCACAAGTGGAGTACCACAGGGTTCAGTTCTTGCACCAGTGATGTTTATTGTCTACATAAATGATCTACCAGTTGGTATACAGAATTATATGAACATGTTTGCTGATGATGCTAAGATAATAGGAAGGATAAGAAACTTAGATGATTGTTATGCCCTTCAAGAAGACCTGAACAAAATAAGTATATGGAGCACCACTTGGCAAATGGAATTTAATGTGAATAAATGTCATGTTATGGAATGTGGAATAGGAGAACATAGACCCCACACAACCTATAAATTATGTGAGAAATCTTTAAAGAATTCTGATAAAGAAGGAGATCTAGGGGTGGTTTTAGATAGAAAACTGTCACCTGAGGGCCACATTAAGAACGTTGTGTGAGGAGCCTATGCCACACTTTCTAACTTCAGAATTGCTTTTAAATACATGGATGGTAAAATATTAAAGAAATTGTTCACGACTTCTGTTAGGCCAAAGCTAGAATATGCAGCGGTTGTGTGGTGCCCATATCTTAAGAAGCACATCAACAAACTGGAAAAGGTGCAAAGACATGCTACTAAGTGACTCCCAGAACTGAAGGGCAAGAGCTACGAGGAGAGGTTAAAGGCATTAAATATGCCAAAACTAGAAGACAAGAAAAAGAGGTGATGTGATCACTACATACAAAATAATAACAGGAATCTATAAAATCAATAGGGAAGATATCCTGAGACCTGGAACTTCAAGAACAAGAGGTCATAGATTTAAACTAACGAAACAAAGCTGCCGGAGGAATATAAGAAATTTCACTTTTGCAAACAGAGTGATAGATGGTTGGAACAAGTTAGGGGAGAAGGTGGTGGAGGCCAAAACAGTCAGTCGTTTTAAAGTGTTATATGACAGAGTGCTGGGAAGACGGGATACCACAAGCGTAGCTCTCATCCTGTAACTATTCTTAGGTAATTACACTTGGGTAACATTTAGGTAATTACACACTCACTCTCTCTGTCTCTCTCACTGTACAATCACAATTAACAAGAATAGACAACCTCCGCACAGGTTGGTTGCTCTGAGACTAAGACACGAACCCACACACTTGCGCACCTCGCAACACTGGAAGACAAGAGTAAGGGGGAGACATGATTACTACCTACAAAATTCTCAGAGGCTGTTTAACATGAGTGGTATGCGAACAAAGGGACACAAGTGGAAAATGAGTACCCAAATGAGCCACAGGGACGTTAGAAAGATCTTTTTCAGTGTCAGAGTAGTTAACAGGTGGAATGCATTAGGCAGTGATGTGGTGGAGGCAGACTTCATACTCGGTTTCAAATGTAGATATGATAGAGCCCAGTAGGCTCAGGATTCTGTACACCAGTTGATTGACGGTTGAGAAGCGGGACCAAGGAGCCAGAGCTCAACCCCCGCAAGCACAACTAGGTGAGTACTGATTCACCCGGACACAGGTGGGGTGGCTGATCAGCCTTGCAACAATCATGCAACAAGCAGTTCAACCACTCGACAACATAATGAAATATATCCTATCAAGATAATACACCTGCTTGATACCTGCTTGATGGGGTTCTGGGAATTGTTCTACTCCCCAAGCCCGGCCCGAGGCCAGGCTTGACTTGTGAGAGTTTGGTCCACTAGGCGGTTGCTGAGAGCGGTCCGCAGGCCCACATACCCACCACAGCCCGGCTGATCCGGAACTTCTCTTAGAAAACTATCTAGATTTCTCTTGAAGATGTCCATGGTTGTTTCAGTAATATTTCTTATAGTCGCTGGGAGGACGATGAACAGCAGCAGTATAATGGTGTAGAAAATTGTATTAGAGGTTAATGAATGCATGTAGGTATGGGTCCTGTGTATCCGGTCAAAACTGGTTACACTGGGGTCATAACAGTTTAATCGAATATTTGTATGTTCCACTGAACGTTTAGTAACAACTACAGTTTGTTTGGGCCATTCAGAAGTTTGTTAAACGTGAGGATGCTCTGTAATTATTAATGAGAAAACTCATTGTCACAAAACTGTGCAGGTTCAAATATTGACGTTAAATTATTTACCTTGTAATGTTTTCTATATAGGTTATGACCACACAAAATTGGAAGTCAACTGTTCATTATATAGTATGAATTATACTGTAAATTGATATAAGAATGTGCCAGTTTTTATGACCACAAAATTGCTCAAGCATGTACTTTTTCAGGTATACCAGGTATTACTGCATATGATAAGAATGGAATAAGATTGGACATGGCATTTGATGTTCAAGAATCCATCACTACTATCAACATGCTGGCGACCAACAACTCTGGAGCCCAAGTTACAGACTTTCTCTTCCAAGCTGCTGTACCCAAGGTAATTGTTTTTAATCTTATTCTTTATAGAAGAATAAGATTTATTATATACTAAGGGGATGGATGGAAGGATGGATGGATGGTGGAGAGGGACTGGATGGATGGATAGTGGAAGGGGAACTGGAGGTTGGAGGGGCGGGGGTGGCAAAGTGGGGGGATAGGCGTGCAGCAGTGATTGGGCAGGTGTCAGTGTGTGCAGGCGGGCAGTAGTGAGATGGCTGGCAGAGTTGGTCACCCTCCCCACGACCTCCATCCCCTCATCCCCCATTCGTGCAGCATTCAACAAGTGTCAGTATTGTATAAAATGACAGACTATGGAGATCCCAACCAGTGAGATGACTCCCAGATTGGAAGCTCATGAATCACAGCAATTTATCCACTTTACGAATCCCACACCAGAACCCCCCAGCTGTACCCCTCCCAGCCATATGGACAGTATTAACACGGTGGGCTTCCTTGCTACCAGCTGATGGATCAGGAGGCAGACTTCCTGAGCGCATGTCATTAAACTCTTATTTTCTGTGTAGAGCCCTTTCGGCTCCCTGGACCTATATCAGGCTGATGTGTATATATTAGACCGTAGTAACAGTCAATCGATGGAGTTCTAGGCCTACTGGGGACCAGAGCCAGAACCTGGCCTCCTCAGAGAGGCACAAGAAGCAGTGGTCTATAGACACCCACGTGCAGTTGGAAGACCTCTATATCTGCCATCTACCAGCTCAGGCACCCAGAAAGGTAGGAATCCCTAAACAAACAACAGCTGGTGAAAAATTGCAAACCAAAAGCCGAACGAGCAAACAGAACTCTCCCAATCAGAAACAAGCAAACAAGCGTGAAGTCGTCACAGCCGCTGCACCACTGTGGAAGATCAGCAAGGCTGATGCGTCGTCATCAGCCACCGGCAAGGGAGCCGGTGGCTGAGCGGACAGCACGCTGCCCGCGTGATCCTGTGGTCCCGGGTTCCATTCCCGGTGCCGGCGAGAAACAGTGGGCAGAATTTCTTTCACCCAGATGCCCCTGTTACCTAGCAGTAAATAAGTACCTGGGAGTTAGTCAGCTGTCACGGGCTGCTAGCTGGGGTGCGTGTGTGGTGTGGGGGAAAAAAAGTAGTTAGTAACAGTTCATTGACAGTTGAGAGGCGGGCTGAAAGAGCAGAGCTCAACCCCAGCAAGCACAACTAGGTGAATACTGTCTGCGCAACACCCTCCCCCTCCCCGGGAGAGGGAAGGGGGGTCCAAAACCTTTGTGCTGGCTACACAACCCCAGTTCAGTGGCTGTTGTGTTTGGTGGCAGTCAATCGACTCTGGCTACGTCATTTTGAGCAGTGCTGTTCATGGCGGTGGTGGTGTTCTGTATGGTGGTGTGTGAGCCAGGAGTAACACTAGAGTACTGGGGCTGCATGCATCTAGGGCCACCTTCCCTAGGTGCCCTGTAACTACTGCCCTTGCGATTCTGGGTTATCTTCCATAGGCCGTTTGGAAGTCTTCCTCTATATGGTTATTGTGCTGCTCGGTGATTGGGGTCAGCTGGGGTGGTTCTTGCTACTGTTTGACCTTTTGTAGGAGGTAGTATTGTCGGTGGCTTGGGTGCAAAGTACTGTACAGCTGTCTGATATACACATAGCGACTGGTTCTGTTCCCCTGAAGACGTTGTGCTTTTGCGTTTTTTTTTCTTTTGTTTTACCTGGTGTGGCTATAGGACCATTTGTATGATTTTGGTGGCCCTCCACTAGGTCTCCGTGGTTGCACACGTCGCAGGGGGTTCAGCTTTTAGTATGTTTGCTTGGTAGTTCTGGGATAACCAGCAAGATGACCATCTTACCTAGGCTTCCCTTAGCAGTCAGCCTAGGGGCCCTGGAAACCCCCTTGGGATTCATTGGTTCAATGGAGGGGACCTCCCATTCCCACCTTGCTTAGTGCGAGTTTGAAGGTTGCTCTGTCCCCCCTTATCTCAGGGTGACATTCACTGTCTTTGCCTCCACCATGCTGCTTGTTGGGTCAATGACACCTTTGACCCAAAGTCTTGCGAGTGGAGTTCCTTGCGTGTACTCCAGTTCACCCAGTTGGATAATACTGTTGATCGGGTGCAGGCAGCATGTGTTGCATGCGTGGTTTAGGTTGCTGCAATGCTCTAGGTTCATCGCCTTTGCAGATGCCTCATGGCTTCTCTCCTTTTCTCCTAAGGCATAGGGCTTGGAGGACGGCTTGGCCCCGGGTCCTGATGTGGAGGACCCAGGGACTGGGGAGGAGTTAACCTAAAGGGGCTTGGGCCCCGTTTGAACCCGCTTTGGTGTTTGTACCTTCGGCTTGGGGCTTGTTGCTACAGGGGGAGGGGTTTTCATATCCCCCCCCTCCCTGTATGAGTTTGATATGGGTTTGACTCCTCCCTGGGTTCGGATCCGGGTTTCCTTGGGTTCCTCGGTTCCCTCCTTCCGGTGGTTTTCGGCTTCCCGCATCCTGCTGAGGGAGGTGCAGGATGCCCTTGCGACTTACCCTCTGCGAGACCCGGATTACTCCTCGATAATGGATCCTTCTTATGAGTTTGGCTCTTCTTTTTCCTTACTGGGTGCATTATGAGGTGCCGGAGTCTTCCTGGCTGGCATACTGCCCTTTCTTTTCGATGGGGGCTCGGCGTTTGTTCTCTCAGACTTGTACGATTGAATGGCGGGAGTTGACTATGGTTGTTCAGGTTTACCTGGGGGAGCGAATTTGAGCACCTCAATGCATGCTTGTTTGCCCCCATCCTTCCTCGTGATATGAGCCAGGTGCAGCTTTACGGGCAGGTTCCCTCCCTTTCCATGTCCCCTGGTAGCCGAGGATATGCTCGCCCGTGGACATTTGACTTTGGTCTTGTGCTGCTTTTCCCTGCTGGAGCTGTCTTCAGACTGGCTCGAAAAGGATGTGAAAGAGCTGGGTTCCGGGCCGGTGTCCGGTGTGCGTGCCTCGGCAGCTCAGGCGTCGGCTACCTTGTTGATGATGTGTGCGCTGATTCTGAAGGAGGCGGTGTCTCTGTTTTCTGCTTCTCGCCTCGCATACAGACAGACAGCTCGTCCACTCTTTGAAATCCGCTTTGGCCCTGGCTCTAAGATTTTCATGCCCTTTTTGTACGTTGCTGTTTGCAGAGTCTGTGGTGGTGCATTTTCTGCAGGTGGCTTCGTCTAGTTGCCGGCCTATGTCGGATTTGTTGGTTTTCCGAGGGGGGTCGTGGGGGGTCCTGCTGGGAAAGGTCGTGCCAGGGCTCCGGGTTCTTAAGGTCGTCGTAAGCCAGTACAGTAGGGCCAGATTTGGGGCCGACCCCTCCTGCGGAGCTGTCGACATCTGGTTGGCGCAGTGCTCGCTCTGAGCATCGGTTGGGTTTTCATAAGGGTCATCAGCCTTTTCGAGGTTCGCCTGATGGAAAAGAGGCCCGCACTGTTTGCTCATGCCTGGTCCCATGATTCATGGGCATTTTGAGTCGTTTCCTCCGGCCTGCAGTGGCGTTGGGTGGCTCCTCCTCCTTCAGGGGGTTTGGGGCTGGCGGGGCAGGCCTCACCCCTACTCTGTCGAGTCATCCTGGAGTGGTTACTCTTGAGCGTGATCGAAATGACAGCATCCATCAGGTGGGTTTCATGCCTGTTTCCAGTTCCGAATTGGGACTGTGCGGACCTGTGGTTCATTCTGGACTTGTCCCGTCTGAACCCCGCTGTCTTATGCCTCTTCTTTTGGATGGCTCCTCTGTCCCAGGTCTGGGTGCTTTTGGAGCCGGGCACTTGGATGGTGTCCCCTGGACCTCTGGGATGCGTATTGGCACGTCCCGATTCATCTGAGGTTCAGGGGACTGGCTCGGTTTTTGTCTTGGCGCAGTGAGCTTACAGCTTTTGTTGCCTTCCATTCGGCTTGAATTTGGAACCTCGCGTTTTCACATGCCTTATTCTGGACGTGGTGACATGTTTGCTACTGTTAGGGGTTCGGGTTCTGACTTATCTCAACGGCTAGCTGGTCTGGGCTTCCAGCTGGTCCGCATGTCTGCTCGCCAGGCATTTGGTTCTTTCCCCAGCTTGCTGGGTTAGGATTCTTGATGAATTGGAGGACGTCCCATTTGTTTACCTCTCAGGTTCGGGCTTGGCTGGGTCTTGTGTGGGGGGACTTGACCGCTTCCTTGTCACTTCCTTTGGCAGCGTTGCTGCGGCTGTGGTCCCGCCTTCAGCTGGTTTTGGAGGGCACCATAGTCGCTCTTCGGTTGTTTGAGCAGCTGTGCTGGAGTCTGAACGTTGCCGTGCTGGTCTACCCATCGGGTCGGATCTGGCTACGACGGCTGTTCTGGTTCCATCGGGGATGTCCTTTCCACCACTCTCGTGATCTCTGGGTTCGGACCCCGAGGGCCTAGCATTGGCTGCGGCATCGCCGGCTTCCTCTTCAGGTTTTTCGGGGTTCAGTGCCGTGGCACTTACCCGAGACCCTCGATGTGTTCACGAATGTATCGTCTTTAGGCTGGGGTTTTGTGACCAGTGCTCATCAGTCCGGCCAGGGGCGGTGGGGTTTATCCTTCTGTCGGCTCACAGCTCAGTGTGGAAGTTTGCGGCTGTGTGGTATTCACCTCGAAGGGTTCAAGTCACTTGCGGATCGACTAGTCCGCACCATTTGGATTGCTCCCCAGTGGTTCATTGCCTGAGCCGAGGTAGTTCGATGTGGTTCTTGGCTGTTTGGGGCTGGTCGCTTCGGGTGACTCGTCTGCTGAGTTCTCGGGGCTTGGCTCTCCTGGTGGTTCATATCTAGGGGGTGTCGAACATCCTGGCTGGCGGCCAGAGGGTCTTCCTGCAGCTCTCCCTCTTGCAGCAGGATGGTCCGGTCCAGTACGTGGCTGGTTCGATATTCTTCTCCTGATCTTCGCATCTGGTCTTTCTGGCGTGGGTTTATCACCATTTGTGTGGTGTTCAGGTGGCTTCATCGATGGTGACCCACCTGCGAGTTTCGTCTCGGCAGAAGTATGAAGTTTCCTAGCGGTCCTTTTGGCACTTCTTGACTCTTCGTAGGTTGTCTTCGATTTCTGATTGGGTTGTTTGTCCTTTCTCTCGTGGTTGTTTCAGAACCGTCATCTTATGCCGAATAATGTCGCCTCGTATCGTGCGGTGCTGGCAGATAGATGTACATTCTAGGCAGATGTCAATTCTGCTCTGTTGCGCAAGCTTTCTCGGATGTTGTTTCATCTCCGGCCTGCTCATTCGCCACCTGAGGCGCCCTGGTCGTTGGACCAGGTGTTCTCTTTTTCTCTCTTCTCCTCAGTTTGTGGTTTCCCCTTCAGTTCCAGACTGTTTTTCTAAGGCTCTTTTCTTGTTGACAGTGGCCTCTGGGGGTCGGATCAGGGCACTTCATGCTATTCTCCAGCATGAGATTCTGCTCTTTCGAGCCTGGTGGTCGTTTTGTTCGTTTGCAGCCATCTCCTTCTTTTCTGGCGAAGAATGACTGCTGCTTTCCTTGGGTCCTTGGGTTGTTGATGCTTGGTTGGTTCGGCCGGGGATGCATCATGTTTTGTCTGGTTGCGGCTCTTCGCCATTACTTGCGGGCCACAGCCTCCATGGCAGGGGACTCGCTTTGGGTTGACCCAGTTTCCCTTTTTCCCTGTTCCAGGGCATGGTTCTCCCAGGTCATCCACAGGATTATTCGGTCCAGCCAGCCTGCAGTCTATCCCCGTGCTCACAAAGCTCTTAATTTCACGGCGTTGGCTGCTGTTTTTGGTAATATGTCTTGGGCTGACATTCAGGTATGGGGTTTTTGGAGGTCGAACAGGGTCCTGGCTGCACGGTACCTCGTTAATGTTCCTGGGCCTTCTTGGGCTTGTATGGCATTTGGTCGCAGGTTGCAGCCATTTGTCTTGTCTTCGAGTTGAGGAACGAGTGGCGGCCGGGTAAGTCCCTCTTTTCCTTTATCTTTGGTTAGGTAGCTCCAGGGAGCTGAAAGGGCTCTCCACAGAAAAGCAGTGTTGAATGTAATGAAACGCCATTTTCTTGGTGAGACCTGGAGGCTCCATGGCATCCCTTCCTCCTTCCTGTCGGCATTTTTTCTTGTTTTTGATTTTCAGCCTCTGAGCGTGGGAGGTCTGGGGCTCCTTCTTTCCCTTCCCAGGGAGGAGGGAGCTGCATAAATTTGAGGATGGGGAGGGTTTCCCCCCCACCCCCCCTCCCCCAGGAGAGTGGTGCGGCAGCTGTGGTAACATCATGCTTGTTTGCTGATGGGGGAGTTCTGCCTGCTTGTTCTGTTTTTGGTTTGCAATTTTTAACCAGCTGTAGCTTTTTGGGGGATTCCTACACCTCTGGGTGCCTGACCTAGTAGATGGCAGACATTGACTGCTTCCAACTATATGGGGGTGTCTATAGGACATTGCTTCTCATGTCTCTGAGGGGGGGGGAGGCAGGTTCTGGCTCGTGGTTCCCAGTTGGCTACTAAGAACTCCATCGATTGACTTTTTAAACTTTTTAAACGATTAAACTGCCACGGTTTAATGTACAGTATACACAAATCAGCTTGGTATAGCTCTGGGGAGCCTCCGGATCTCGCCCAGAAAATGGCGTTTCATTACATTCAACACTGGTTTTATTATGCAGTACACTCGGGCTGTATTTTTATTTAGTGTGAATGATTTTGCCTGTCTTCATTATATAAATTATACAGTTGAATTGTCTAAGATTTCATTTAGCAATGCAGTACTGTACTTGAGTATGTCAAACTTGATATAAACTTACAACTTTCAGTCAATACAGCTGCAGATGTTGAACCCCAGCAGCACCATCATGGCTCCTACTACTTCACTCTCACAACTGATCAAGGTCAACAACCCTAACAAGGTGGGTATAAGAACATGTACACAACCACATTGAGTTAGTTGTTTTGTCCTTTATTAGGAAGAACAGGTACCTGAATGTGATCATAGTCCTGGAAGTTCCAGTACCAAATATGTATGGTGAGATGAGTTATGTGCTCCGCTGACTAGACGGGGCGGTGAAGTTCCGTTCAAAGTCTTCAGACATATGTTTTGGTAGTGACTTTAGATACTTTAGTATTGTAGTAATAAATATTATGTACATTACATATTTCTTTAGACACTCAACATTTAAGATCTGGGCCAGCAAAGTCTAGCCAATTTTACTTTCAGTCCAGGTGTTGATGGTCTACATCCTAAAGTAGACCCTGGTTCACAGAAGCAATCTCTGAACGATTACATTTAGTAATTTCTAGGCTATTGCGTATGCTCAGTATTTTAACTATTTTTATGCCTTTAGTAGTAAATATTATTAAAAAATATAAGTTGCACTGTGCTTGTAGTTCACTGTAATTTATATAAATACTGTATTAGAAAGGATACAGTCAGGGATGCCATTCATTAAGGGGATAAAGCTTAGGGACAGATGAATATAACAGTAGAGAGATGATTGAATGAGGTGATAAAGATTGTAGATACAGTAGATGATAGTGCTTGGTAATAAGAATGCAAACAGTTTTAAAGGGTTTAACAATAACATTGTTAACATTTTAAGAAATATCAATGAGATGAGAAAATATGGTGGACCCTCTTTTGTGCAGTTTCAGAGAGCACAAGTTTTACAAACATTCAACAAAATAAAGTCACAGTAACGTGGCTGAAAAATGTTGACTAAACCACACTAGAAATTGAAGCGACGACAACGTTTCGGTCCGTCCTGGACCATTATAAAGTCGATAGTGATGAGACGAGGGAGGTAAGGGCATTAAGTAAGGCAAGAGAGGTGAGGAGATGGAAATCTTAGAGGAAGATATGAGCAAAAGGTACAGAAGGTAAAGTGTAATATAGGGTGTAATAATAGGAGTAAGAATGGGAACGTGAGAGAAATAAGAGAAAAAGAAAAAGAACAAATAAAAGAGAATAAATGGTGTAACATGGGATGGGGTTTTGGCTCTCTCTCTCGTCCACTACCCTATCTGTAAATAAATTTAACTCCAAGACCCCAGAACTAACTCTCGGCTAAGTCCACGCCTCGTGACCTCAGATGTTCGACCGCCTTAGGAACTACAAGGCACGAGATGCCTTTACTAGGCTCTAGCATGCTCAAAGATCTCAGTTCGCCGCCACCACCAAACCAAAAACCAATGCTGTTAATTAATCGGGGTTTGGACCAATTAATTAACCATTAACCCTCTGGGTAGATCATTCTCAGTTTCGTGGAACGGGAGGTATTAGTTTACGTTAAGTGTGGGAATTAGCTTGAAAACACTTAAGTGAGTATATCAGATATTAAAAGCCTAGGCTTTCCTGGGGTATTGGTACTGACTCATTCAACCTATAAACCAGACTCATGGAGACCAAATGGCCAAGACACTCACATGTAATATCATTCATGGAAATACTCAAAAATACAAAAGAAAATCTTACTCAAAGTTTATTGATGCAAAGCTATAAAATGTAAATAAAATCACTGCCTAACTTAACACTCCCTAATGTGAAATATATTGTAGAGGCACAGTTGGAGAAATGACCATACTAAACTCTACAGCACTTTTATCTTAATGTAAGAAAGCAGCCGATGGTGCTCTGGTCTCCCGAGGTGAGATGGTGACCTCTTCCGCTGCCCGAACCACACTCGCCTCCCTCTGTCTACCAGACAGTGAAGGCTGACTAATATCACTCCGCCAACTCTAGCTACTAACATTACCCGGCCAGGTCAAATTAACAAACTAATCTTAATGTCCTGGCCAAACCAGATGGTTGAATTCTTATTTAAACTGGTAGTAATTCTATTAATCATCTTGGAAAAAGCTATATCCAGTTACAGTATTGGCTAGTGTCCTATATTTGTACATTATGAATTAATACTATGGAAAGGGGTGGTCACCCTCAGGTCACGTGACCTTGACACGGTGAGTCATCCAGACCACAAACTAGTCCCTCCTACTCCACATGACGTCATTGTCTTTGTAGCAGACTACGAACCTTGGACTTTTACTCTACAAACATGGCAGCCTAGCATACCTACTTAAACCAGGTTGGATATTACTGTAATTACTGTATTTTGTTGAAATATTCATTACATGTTGCATTGATACAGAGAGCCAGCCATTTTGTTTCAGCCTAAAGCTAATCTCTTTAATCTCTGGAGAGTAGACCCTTCCTAGCTTCAGGTAATGAGTACCCTGTGACTGAATTTGGACCACTTGGTCTCATCCAATCCCTATGAATTGAGATCTACAACAAGCTTTAGTTTGTTACAAGGGTAGGCTTATGTTAGGTCACATTTGTTAGAAAGTTTAGAACATTTGAGTTTGTACTGTGAAAGGGAAGAGTCAACAGCAACAAGCCAGGACTAAGGTTCATGTTGGGAAGGTTGTGAATCAGAGCCGACAATATGGCGTCTGTGAAGAGTAGAGGCAGGAAAGATTATTTTGGAAGAAGACCATTCAATAGGTTTATTAGTCCCTAACATGACTGAAGAGAGCATTGTTTGTGTCTGCAGACTTAGCACTTCTTCTGTGTTCCTTAAGTCTGTCATTAATATAGTCTTAACGTGTATATTGGTATGAGCGTAAGAATTAATGTGCTGAATTCTTTCCAGGTGCCACTACGAATGAGGATAAAGTTATCATGGTTAGCAAATGGGACGGCTCTTCAAGACCAAGGAGAAATTAGCAATTTTCCTTCAGTATTGTGGCAGTGACAGCACCCATACTCTCGTTACCCCAGCTACCACATGCATCTTTCTTCTCACTCCCTCTCCTCACCCCATGGTTACATCTCAATTTGTAGTATACCTGTGTCCTATATCACCCCTTCCCTCTCTCAACTATCACCAAGTCTCTTGTCTAACAACTATTTTAAGATGCCTTTCCTCACCACTCTCCACACAATTTGTCTTATAATTGGTTTAGTCATTGCTTTGGGATTTTCCAAATCTCTCGCATCATCATATCTTCCATCATATTTCCCTCGTGCATTTTTGTACACCTTTATAACATTAATAACTATGAAAATATTTATTTATTGCCTTTCTGTACAAAACTTTAAGTTTCTAAATTTAGTTGTTCATATCCTAATGTTGTCATCATCACTCTCCTCTCCAAGAATCTCTCTCTCCTCTATTAGTTATCAACTTTGCATTGATCTGCATCAACTTATTTCATTTTCTTTATATATATTGTCCTCTCCAAACAGGGTAATACATTTTTGGTTAATATTCTCGTTGGTGTGTTGTAAAGTTGTAGTGTGTTACCCATGTGTTCTATCACCATGTGTTTTGTTGTATATGTTGCATTCATCTTGGGTGTTGGTGGTGTCATGCCAGACCTTCCTCTTTCACAACACAAGTGCATCATGCCCATACTGTGTACCATTAATTATGAGGTGACAGGGATGTTGCTTCAGGTCATCTGCGATTACTCCTGCCCACTTTCTTGTGGCATTTGCAATTATTTTATATTCTTTCTACTACATAAAATGTCTCTTTCTTCATTCAATAAGGCCCATATTTTTTGAAGCAAGTATTATGTAAAATATTACAACAGATTCCAATTGGAAAACATTATGGGTTTTTGTATGCGTGGAATTGTAATAAGCATGAATTGAAACATCTTTGAAGTACGGTACAGTATTGCATATATGCAACCTAACATTTCTCCAAATTCTGGGTGGGTTGTGACATACTGTACATTGTTCATTATAGCATAGTGTGAGCGAGCCTTGGGTTGGTGGGAATTATATATGTGAAGATGCCACCATGTTTAATATTGTGAGTGTAGTGAGAGAAGAATGTGAGGCTACTGTAAACAGGCCACTTATTGTTATAATTATTGTAAATACAGTACGTATATTTGTTCTTGGTTTTCATAATGGGTTAGCATTATCTATAAAGTTGTGTGTTTCATATTATTATTATTATTATTTTAATAATGTCCTTGAATTTCAGTTAATACTGAGTCAGTAGGCAGGAGTCATTGTGCCATGATTGTTGCTGGACTTGTGAATGAAGCCTTAACTCATATAATTTTGAGAAATAGAGGAGAATAAGGAGCTTAACTAGTGATGTGGTAATAAGGTTTGTGACAGTTTTCAGAAATGGGTTAGTGATTTTGTGTGTGGATTTTAACGGTTTGGGTCCAGGTCTCCCAGTTTGGTGCAGTTTAACGCTGGCATCTTATTGCTGCTGTTAGACAAGTGCATCTTCTCTATTTTCTACCCATTTATGCAAAACACAAGTTTTCATGTTGCAAATGTTTGTGACGAGTGTTCTCTCCTTGTACTTAACGTTATGTTGCACGCATTGAAATCGTGTTTTGTAACTTATTTTATTCTATATAATTCACTTTCACATTTAGAATTTATCTTATTATAAATCATGCTAATATTTATGACTTCTTTTAAGCCATGGTTCTTTTTCTTTTGGAAATTATTGGTAATGTACTTAGAGATAACAAGGTATTTTGATATGTGAAATATCCTTGTGTATTTACTTTGCTTTTTAGTCTGGCAAATAATAATAACTGGTACAACATTTGAGTGCTGGTGCAGTGTTGTGTACACACCTTTAACAGTATTGTGTACACACCTTTAACAGTGTTGTGTACACACCTTTAACAGTGTTGTGTACACACCTTTAACAGTGTTGTGTACACACCTTTAACAGTGTTGCAGCTGCACCTTTAACAGTGTTCCTTGTTAATGGTGTGTGAGCCAGACACAGTGTTGCAACTGCACCTTTAACAGTGTTCCTTGTTAATGTTGTGTGAGCCAGACACAGTGTTGCAACTGCACCTTTAACAGTGTTCCTTGTTAATGTTGTGTGAGCCAGACACAGTGTTGCAACTGCACCTTTAACAAAGTAACTCATTCTTCTCAAGATCAAAGCTTAAATTGTACCTTTGTGATATTAATTGTTTGCACCTGAATAATAATAGTGATAGGCAGAGGAGCGTTTCTCTAGCTTGTGGTTACAATAATAACAATGTGTCGTAGACCTATTTTCTCTGTTTTGACACTGCTAGAGGTCTTGTTTTATAATAGTGTGGATCGTGTAAATATTTGAGAAAACATGAGCCGAGTTAGGTGTTAAGTAATTGTTGTAAATATTTGTTACGAAATGATCCACAGACAGGAGGGCTGGAAACTATCACCTAAGCTCACCTCTCAATTTTGGCTGTAACAAAAAAATCCATCCACATCAATATCCCCAAATACTTTGTTTTTCATGTACAATTCTAACTAAAAGCTACTTTTAATTTTATTATTTATATGGGGTCATGGAGTATGAATTTGTTTGGGAGAAATTTGTGCCCTCAGTACCATGCCAATATGTCTTGTTTAGTAATGTGAATAGTAAAATGGCCTTTATATTGATTGGGGTTAAGCTGATACGTCTATGGTCCTGTCGGTTATTACGTTGTTGCAGTGCGGGACCTTTAGACCCAAGAATTATATATTTTGTGCAACCTGTCCTCTTGTATTACATTTACGTAGTGTTTGTATATTTTATGTCGCCTAGAAATATTGTATCTATATATTGTTTGATATAGTACTTCAGTTATAAGGAACATTTTCTGTATATAAAACTTCCAGAGCTGCTTTTTCAAAAAGTGCGGGAAAGTGTTTGCCAGACCCAGAGGAAGGTAGTGAGGGGGACGGCAGAGGAAGGTAGTGAGGGGGACGGCAGAGGAAGGCAGTGAGGGGGACGGCAGAGGAAGGTAGTGAGGGGGACGGCAGAGGAAGGTAGTGAGGGGGACGGCAGAGGAAGGTAGTGAGGGGGACGGCAGAGGAAGGCAGTGAGGGGGACGGCAGAGGAAGGCAGTGAGGGGGACGGCAGAGGAAGGCAGTGAGGGGGACGGCAGAGGAAGGTAGTGAGGGGGACGGCAGAGGAAGGTAGTGAGGGGGACGGCAGAGGAAGGTAGTGAGGGGGACGGCAGAGGAAGGCAGTGAGGGGGACGGCAGAGGAAGGCAGTGAGGGGGACGGCAGAGGAAGGTAGTGAGGGGGACGGCAGAGGAAGGTAGTGAGGGGGACGGCAGAGGAAGGTAGTGAGGGGGACGGCAGAGGAAGGTAGTGAGGGGGACGGCAGAGGAAGGTAGTGAGGGGGACGGCAGAGGAAGGTAGTGAGGGGGACGGCAGAGGAAGGTAGTGAGGGGGACGGCAGAGGAAGGTAGTGAGGGGGACAGCAGAGGAAGGTAGTGAGGGGGACGGCAGAGGAAGGTAGTGAGGGGGACGGCAGAGGGATGTAGTGAGGGGGACGGCAGAGGAAGGTAGTGAGGGGGACGGCAGAGGAAGGTAGTGAGGGGGACGGCAGAGGAAGGTAGTGAGGGGGACGGCAGAGGAAGACTGTGATGGCAAGGCTGCTGCAAGTCCATGCATTATTTATTTATATGAGACCTTTGCTTATATTTAACTTGTAATATTATCAATTATTTGTGCTGAAAGGTATCCTATAAGACAAATTAGACAACATAAACAAAATTTTCTAGGGCATTTTATTGTTAGGCCTCCCTGTCTATAGTGTTAACTTTGATTAAAGGAAATTGAGGTTCATACGTGGTACAGTATTTTATTATGTTATATGTCAGACTTTGTCAATTCATTCTTGAATTCTCAGAAGCTGGGAGATGAGGTGTCCAATTCCATTTGAGGACATATATAAATGCTGATTTTCCCAGTGGAAGAAAGCCAATAGCTAATTACTGGTAATGGACATGCAATGCTACTTATTATCAAGCATAGGAGTTATTGTGACAGGTTCCAATGGTAGTTGTCTTGCCCCCTAAGCACTTGGTCTCGGGTGCTGGCATATCCCCACCCATTGCTTGAGAGTAGGCCGGGTCCACTAAGCCATTCCATGTTCTCTGGTGATGTAAATGAGCCCTTCTGGCATTGTCATATTGATCATTTGGGGAAAAAATAAATTTATCGAATTTTTATTTTGGTTGTTTTCCTTTCGTGTCTTTTTGACCCATGTGCTCCCAGGTTTTCTATAACTTAATGCGACTATTCATATATATTATCATTAATCGGTTTACCACTCGTGGGTGGAGAGGTGCTAGCCAAGAGAAGAAAGGTGCAGTAAAGGTCATTGATAGTGAAAAACTAGCTCAGCCATGCATTAGATAATTCACAATACAATACCCTCTTGTGCATTTTGCTTTTGCATGGCAAGTGTGTTCCTGTATGATACGTTGGGGCTGGTGGAGGCTTCTTTGGCACTCCCCTTCTAGATGTATGTGCGAGGAAACTGTTGTAGAGCTCGTGTTTGGGGTCATCAGATCCCCTGCCATAGGAGTAGCTCTTGGATGTCCAAGCTCGGGCACGAGGAAGAGAGAGGTCTTTGTGGCACACAACATTCAATGCGGTAAACATCCCTATTGATAACTCGCCGTTTCCTGCACCTGCTCTTACTCTGCCATAGTAAGTGCTATCTCGTGGCTCTGGGTCCCAACCATTTTAAACTGAACTTGCATGGAAAATAAACACTATTAAATTTCAGACTCATGGGGGGTGGGAGACTATGCCCTCAAATTAGATTGCTGTTAAAAATCAGTTTTCCCCATCCTTCCCTGAGGAGGTACAGCCTCCTCAGGAAAGTGTTGTCTACTGTGTTGGGTTCTGACCCGGCTCTATATTTGGTACACCCTTCTGATCCTTGGCACTTAATTGCAGGAAAGTCTCCCATGACCTCGTTGGTGACTAACCGGGGTTAGTCAAAACTGGGGTCATGGGTTGTTCCAGGTGACGAATAACTCCATCTGTTGCATCAGTGCCTTTTACCCCCTTTACGACTTGCACACTTATCATCTCCTCGTGTCCTACTACTTCTCATGTGTCTTCTTCACCTATGTGAACAAAATATTTTGATGTCTATCCAGATAATTTTCACATGCATAAATGCCTTGTTCATTCAGTTGATTCACATGTTACTTTTAATCCCGTCCGATCTGGTGCACCTGTCGTTTTAGGCCCCTTCTCGGGAGGTGGGTAACCCCCGAGCTATTCAGTCAAGTGTTGGTGAGAATCCAGTTCAGGTTTGTCCATTTAACAAACCTTGGACATTCTTGTCCAAGAATGTCCATTTAAAACTTCAATGTTCTGGCCCATCTGCACATTCCCAGCCATTAACAATCCAGACATCTCAGGATGCCACTCAACGATGCCTAAAATGTTTTACAGTCCTCTACTCATTTTTGTGTTTTCTCGGTTTTGAGTTATAACTGTAAAATTTGGCATAAAAAAGTTTGCAACTGAGTTTGCTAAGAGTATAGATTTTGTACGAAATGTATCTTTTTAATAGATTATGCATGGAGGTGCCGATTAATGCATTTTTCTGGGGGCAGCCCCTTGTGGCTCCCTGAAGCCGAGATGGTGCCATCTACTAGATAGGATCAGCTGTTCAGTTTTATAGGCCTACCAGGAACCAGAAACAAAACCTGGCCATCTTGCAGAGGCACATCAAGTGGTGACACTTGTTTTAGCACCAAGGAAGGCAACCAGAAGTCAGTCAAAACAAAATAATGCTGAATTCAAAGAGACAGAACCTCGAAACCCGCGTAAAGAACTCTCCCAAATTTTCTAAAGAAATGATCAAATTCTCTCGGAACTAGCACAAGCTTGTTCACTCTACCTCCCCCACTTGGGGGAAGGTAGAGTGAACCAGTTCTATCACTGATGTAGTGCATGCTGGCTCCAGATTTCTACTTGTGATGCTAAGTGGTGTGGTGTTTCCACTTGTGGTATTTCCTGTACACTGCAGTGTAGTGTGAGCCAGTATTTTAAGTGTGTTTGTAGCTGCATGTGCTCAGAGTTAGCATCCCCCGTGTGCTTTCTAGAGTGTCTTGCTCTGGAGTGTTCGAGAGTTACTCCTTTAGAGGTCCACCTCGCTTATTGTGGACTTTATTAAGGGTAAGTTAGGAGTCTTGGGGCTTCCCTGTCTTAACGCGGGGTTGGGTGTACTCTCCTAGTTGTCCTTCCAGGGGGTTGAACTTTGAATATTTGGTCCTGGCTCTCAACTGATAATTACCAGTTGAAAGAGGTTGAGACCACCACCTCTCTTGCATCCTGTAATTCCAGGATGAGAGCTATGCTCGTGGTGTCCCATCTTCCCAGTACAGTACTGTACTCTGTTGTATAACGCTTTGAAACTACTGACAGTTTTGGCCTCCACCACCTTCTCACTTTGCTTGTTCCAACTGTCTACCACTCAGTTTGTAAAAGGAAGCATAATAATATTTTTTTGGCACCTTGTTTCCTTAGGTTGCATCTGTCCTCTTATAAATTGCCATCCACATTTCCGTAGAAATAAACATTCCATTCACCTGGACTATAAACTGCTCATAGCCTAGTTGATAGTGCTACGGCCTCTCACGCGTGGGGTCTGTGTCCTCGTGAAGCTGCTGGTTTCAGGAATTCCTCTTTGTCAATTTGGTCAAATTCTGTTAGCATTTTGTAAGTGATGATTGTATCACCTCTTTTTTTTTTTCTATCTTCTAGTTTTGGCATGTTTAACGCCTCTGGTCTCTCCTCGTAATTCTTGTTTTTCAGTTCCAAAAGCCACATTGAAACTCTACGATGTTACACTACGAGGAACTCTGTAGAGTAAGGCAGATCCTAGTCAATAATGGCTTTTTTAATGGTTATGTTGAAGACGTCATTAAATGAGAGGTGAAAATCAACCAACACAACACCTGTACCTCCTATTAGATTGTTTTATGGGAACTTCTTTTCCACGGCTCATAAAACAGAGGAAAGAGTTCTGAAAGACATTATTGATAGGAACGTTATCCCCACAGACAAATCAGAAGATACAATTAACAATTTAGTACAAAAACAAGACGAATGTCAACCTACTTATGAAGAACTCTCCACACACTAAACAGAATGCCTTAAGACGACCAACGTATACAGGTAACAGAAGGCTGGACATCAGCGAGGCCCTACACATCAAAAAGTCACGACCAGCAATCAACAACCAGTTAACACAATTACATTCTGTCCACTTCAAGACCCCGTACCAACACAGAGACAGAAGCAGCAAGAACATTAGCTTCTTATGTTTATGCATGTAATGCCCTATTAATATTCATTATGTTTCATCTACTTGTTCATCTCAACCACATCCTGTACCTCCTCACCCCAAGAGAATATAAGCCTTTGCAAATGCATAGTAAATTTGTCTTCGAAAATGTAAGGAGTGCCTTGTGAAATGCATCCCTAGGCATCAGACCATAATATAGTGTGAAAATGATCTTTGGAGAGTTAATTTTTCAAATTCCCTTGACAGTGAAGAAAAACATAAGAAATATTGATAAAATTTGTGTTAGAATCATTAATCTTAACCCTTTTGGTCATATTCAACATACATGGTTGCATATACTGTATACATACTGTAATAGTGTAAGCTGTTTTAGAAGTTTATAGATCTTGTATTAGATGGTATACTTGGACAATAGCTCCTTGACCCGTATCACAAGTTTTACCCCTCCTACGGTTCTAAAACGCCTTTTCCTCGAGCACTTTTCTTCTCACTCCCGCTCCGTTTCCGTCTTCACCGATGGGTCTAAGTCAGCGGACGGTGTTGGCTACTCTGTTGTTTTTCCTGATCGCACTTATGTGTGTCGCTTGCCTCCGGAGACTAGCATCTTTACAGCGGAACTTTATGCTATTCTCTATGCTCTTCGTCTCCTGCTTTCTCGTTGTCAGTCTTCCTTTGTAGTTGTTGTTGACTCTCGTAGTGCCCTCATGGCTCTCGGGTCCTTTAATCCGGTTCATCCAGTAGTTGTCGAGATCCAGCATTGGCTGTTTCTTGTTCACAGTAAATTTAAGTCGGTTGAGTTTTGTTGGGTTCCCAGCCATATTGGTGTGTCTTTAAATGAGCGTGCGGATGCTGCCGCCAAGGAAGCTGTCCGCTCTTGTCCCATCTCTCGTAAAGGCATTCCGTATTCCGACTTTTACCCGGTTATCCATTCCTCAGTCCTTACCCGTTGGCAGGCTTCTTGGTTGTCTGTTACTGGTAACAAGCTACGTACTGTTAAATGTTGTGTTTCCTCGTGGCAGTCCTCCTTCCACCGTAACCGGCGGTGGGAAACAGCTCTGGCGAGGTTGCGTATTGGCCATACTCGCTTAACCCATGGTCACTTGATGGAGCGCCGCCCTGCTCCTTATTGTCCTAGTTGCATTGTCCCTCTTACGGTCGTGCATGTCCTTCTTGATTGTCCTGACTTCCAGGACGAGCGTGTGTCTTGCTTTCCGACCGCCCCTCGCGGTCACCTGTCCCTCGATAGAATTCTTGGTGACTCGAATACTTTTGATATCGTTCGCCTTATGCATTTTTGTTCTCGTATTGGCATCCTTGGTGATATTTAGCGCCCTCTGATTATTTTGCGTATTTGATGGTGCTACATAGCCTTCCCGGTTTGGTGCCTTCTTTTGATAATTACTTACTTACTTGGACAATAGCTATGGAGTGGTACTTTGACAGGGGTTTACCAGAAGAGGTCATCCCCAAGGGATTAGAGCTTGTGTGTGGAAGCAAGGAGTGCTAATATTTGCCTTGTATTGAATTCATCAAGTTAGAGAAATTCATGTATTAAAGTAATTTAATACTAGTTTATTCAAGTTGGGAGGCAGGATGCATCCAGCTAGCAGCAGTCATGCGGATGTAAGCTTGCCATGCCTCCATGACTGTTGTAATTCATTACATTAGAGAAATTTGTTAATATTCAATATTGTATTTTATATTTAATCTGATTCCAGTACATATGTAATTACCATAATTTTGAATAGGAATTCGGGTCCCCTAAAGTGACCCAGTGAAAAATGAGTAGCTATTAATTATCTTTGGAATTTAGTTTGGCAACCAGCCAAGCTCAGCTTGCTTGCAGAAGGTCAGAGCTAGGTAAGGAGAGTTCAGCATGGCTGGTGAAATTGGGCA